AATTAGTAAGTTCCGTTACGAAAATGACACCATTAGAAGCAAGGAAGAAAAAGAATGAGTTTGAGGTGAAACTGAATATATCAATGAATGCCAGAAAAACCCGTGTGTATCCTGATTTAGATGTAGGGGACAAAGTCAAGATAATGAGGAAGAAAGCGATTAGCGAGAAAGAGAGAACCAGTCATTGGTTAAGGACAGTCCATACAATAACCAAAATAGAAACAAAGTTAGGGCAGAAATATTATTCTGTTAGTGATTTTCCTAAACCTCTATTGCGACATGAAATGTTGAAATTATAGCTTTAGACTAAAAAGGTTTAAAGAAATAATACCTATATATATTAGTGATAAATATGGTTATATTTACAGAGGTTGAACAGGAAGAAATTATCAATGAATTCTTAACTTATAGTGAACAACAGGAAACTAAAATAATTGATGAGTTTTTGAGTGATAATGATAATAAAACAGAAGAAGAAGATGACAGTTACGGATTTGTAACTGAAAAACGGTTAGAAAAGGAAGTTACAGAACATCATAAAATGATAAACAATATTGAAACGAAAAATTACATCCCATTAAAACATGCAATGATAAAATATATGGAACAAACCAACAACCAACGAATAATTAGAAATGCTGGAAACTATTCATACAGTCAAAAGACATCCAATTGCTGGTATTTAAGCTTTAGAGAATTTGAATGGTTAATCGAAATAAAAAAGAATGGCAACAAATGGATTTGTAGCAAAGAAAAATTAGATGCAGTTGATTTTAACATATTGTATAAATATAAAATGTTTGAAAGAAGATTTGAATAATTATAAAAAACGAATGAACCAGACCTTGCCCATAATATTTCTACAAAATTTGTGATAAATTTATTGTAAAATAATTTATCATAATTGTTGGAATAATATTTTTTGAAAATTTTGTAAAACTATATTTTCTAAAATTTATATTTTAAAATTTATATTTTAAAATATGGATGAACTTACTAGGAAATTACCTGCTTTGAAATGTTGAAATTATAGTTTTAGACTAAAAGGGTTTAAAGAAATAATACCTATATATATATTAGAAAGATAATGAGTGATACTGAAAGTGAGAATGATATGTATAAAATTGAAACCTTTGATGATTTAGAAACAGCAAAACAACAAGTATTAAGTAATTATGTGTGTAAATGTTGCGATGTTTATTTTTGTAAAGATTGTGCTAAAACAAATGCCAGATTAAAAATGTCATCAAAATCATTACCTATTGATATTATACAGAACATTTCAAATAATATCAGATGTGAGAAATGTGAAGAAATGATATGTATAATAAAACACCGAACACTATATGGATATGACAATGACAACTTTGATTTATATAGCATCAAATTAGCATATTATATTGATTTAAACGGTGATGATTTACCAACGATTGAAGACTTACAAAGCATACCGAAATTACAGCATTTAAGCAACATACATTACAAAGTTTTGGTAATTTTATATTGGAACATCAACCATGAAAAACAATGGAAGCACTGGAAAAGAAACACCATGAATTATTTTTGGGATACAAACGGCGAAAGTATGGAAGATGCTTATGATGAGTTTAATGACTTGTTCAAAGAGTTGATTGACATTTTACATTATATTGACATGAATGAGGACAAGAGACATAATATACTTTACGGTCATTGTTTTGGTATGGAAATTGCTGACAAATTAAATGAAGTTTTCTTCAATGAAGACAGTGAAACCGAAAGTGAAGGTGATGAGGTGAGAGAAGAATTTGAATATATAAGCGATTTCCAGTTGTAAAGTTTTTGCTGGTGAAAAAATCCGATTTTGGTAATCTTTACTGTTTAATTATATTATCCTTAAATAATATAATTGAATACATACAATCCCGAGTGAGTTAATCTGTGAGTTGTTGGTGAGTGTTTTGTAATTGTCTATTGTGTTGTTGGTTGTTTGGTTTTTTGTGTGGTTTGTTGTTTGGTGGTTTTTTTCGGGACAGGTGGCTTACCCAGACCTTGATATTTATTATGCCTAAAACCATTTAAAGAAATGTTCTTTTACTATGGTAGGAGATGAAAGACGATATGAAAAAATGTAAGCAATGTGATACTACATATTCTTCTGATTTGTTTAAGAATATGATTAAACTTTGTGATTACTGCCGAGAACAAAACAGATTGAAGAGAGAGGAAACCAAAAGACAATGGAGAATTAACAATCCTGAAAAAGTATGGGAGAAGCAACGCAGATACAGAGAGAACCACCCTGACAGAGTACAGGAAAAGAACAGGAAATACAGAGAGAGCGAAGCAGGGAAAGCAACAATACAAGCAAACCGGCAACAGGTTCACTATTGCGAATTGTGCGATTATGAAGTTAAAAAAGGTAAGAAGTCTCAACACGAGAAATCTTTAAACCATCAATATTTTTTACAGAAAAGTTTGAACGGTGAAAAATTGGAACGACCGGATAGTAAAGAAATTGTAAATGGCGTGTTGTGGTTTAGATGTTTGAAATGTAAGAAGAAAGAAATTTATTATTCTTGGTGCGACCATGTATCAAGTGAAGGACATATCAATAAATGTTGCGAGGTTGATTGAAATGGTTTAAGTTATTCTTTAAAATGAATAACTTGAAGCATTTTATATAGATTTTGGCGAGTGGTTTGATTATATGCTGGTGTGGCGCGGGGAGGGTAGTAAGAGATGAGGTTGTGGGTAAGGTCCTTCTTGCTCCACCCCCCCCCCCCCCTTTAAAAGCAAATGCTCCTGCGTGAGATTGATTGATTCATTGCCCCCCGACCCCCCCGCCCCCCCCTCCCCCCCATTCGTAGATGGATGGGTTGCTTGATTGATTCATTGTTTAGTTGCTGGCCCCCCCATCACCTACCTCCCGGGCCATGCGTTCCTTTGTTTGCCGGTACAGTGTTCCCCGCCCTCCCCCCAAAAAAAGAAAGCTTCATTGATGATGGGTTGCTTGCTTGCTTAACTAACTGCCGGATTGATAGATTGATTGACTGAGTGATTGATTTGTTGATTGATTGATTGATGTTGGATTGCTTGCTTGCTTGACTAACTGTCTGATAGATGGATTGATTGATTGCTGGATTGATTGATTGACTGATTGACTCATTCATTCATTCATTCATTCGTTCATTCATTCCTTCATTCATTCATTCATTCATTCATTCATTCATTCATTCATTCATTCATTCATTCATTCATTCATTCATTCATTCATTCATTCATTCATTCATTCATTCATTGTTTGCTTGATGGATTGATTGATTAGTTGGTTGGTTGATTGATTGATTGATTGATTGATTGATTGATTGATTGCCCCCCCCTGCCCCACCCCCCCACCCCCATGCCCCTCTCTCGTGCGTTTGATTGATTGCTTGATTGAGTGATTGATTGATTGATTGATTGATTGATTGATTGATTGATTGATTGATTGATTGAAGTGACTGATTGATTGATTGATTGATTGATTGATTGATTGATTGATTGATTGGTTGGTTGATGGATTGATTGATTGAGTGATTGATTGATTGATTGGCGCCCCCTGCCCCCCACCCCCCCCCCCCATCCCCATGCCCCTCTCTCGCAAGTTAGATTGATTCATTGCCCCACCCACCCCCCCGCCCTTTAAAAAAAGGGCTCGTGCGTTAGATTCATTGATTCATTGCCCCCCCCTCCCCCCCCCCCCTCCCACCCATTCGTAGATGGATGGATTGCTTGATGGTTGATTGATTGATTGATTGCTTAATTGATTGATTAATTGATTGAGTGACTGCGTGAGTGAGGGAGTGAGTGAGTAAGTGATTGAAGGATTGATTGATTGATTGATTAATTGATTGATTGATTGATTGATTGCTTGATTGATTGATTGATTGATTCAGTGAGTGAGTGAGTGAGTGAGTGATTGATTGATTGATTGATTGATTGATTGATTGATTGGTGCCCCCCCTGCCCCCCCCCCCCTCCCCATGCACCTCTCTCGTACGTTAGATTGATTGCCGGACCAATGTAACCGCCCGGGGTTCTTACTGCCCGTTTTAGAACCGATTTTCGTGGGGATTGGGATGTTCACTGGGGGTACGATTTGGATTTTGACCCATGGCCATGTGGGTGTGGCTCAGAATTCAAGCAGCTAGGTTTACGCAGGTGATGGTCTTTGCTTCCATTTACCAAGGTGATAGTCGAACAACAACGTTTATCTGGGGTTATTCTTGTTGACTGCTTTCAGTCTAGGGGCTATCAAAGTCAGAAATTGAGTAGTGTCCCTTCAACCTACCACTTGGTGGGTGACTTTGACAATGGTAACAGAATGTAGGCAATAAAAAACAAAAACACTCCATGTAGGCAATAAAGACCAACAGTTGACCCTCTAAGGTAAATTATGAGTAAATGTTGCAGACATGGATTGTTTGGGAATAAACAAGATTTTGGATCAGAGACTACATGCTTTTCCGGTCCATCGTGCCCATTACAAACACGAATGCAAACGCTACAACATGAGCTTCCCTTCCTTTCTTATTTATCTTTCTCGTGCATCCTTTCGTTTTCATTCCACCCTGAAGCGATGGCATGGGTGTCAAAGCCAGAGATGAGAGAGTCTAAAAGATATGATCACCTGACCTGGCACTCGCCTGCGCCAATGGCAAATGAGTGAGCAAGTGGCAACCGTCTCTCATACTTTTTCCTCTCATAGTTAGTCTTTAGATTTGGATTCCTGGAATCAAGAGTCACTCGTTAATTCTCCCCCCGATGGCTCAGGTTTTCCTGTTGGTTTCCCTTCAAAACCACAAAAAGCAGGGGTACCAACTCTGTAAAAACACACACACACAGCCATGTGGCTGTGGCTCACAAGATAGTACCCAACATGGCACCCTGGACACCCATGGAAACAAAAAGACCAATACCTGCGATTTCGAGCTCTTGCATGTCGAGCCACACTTCTCGGGGAAGTTCTTGGACCTGAGGTGAGTCAGCTGGAGGAGTGCATGAAGGAGAATCCCGGAGTTCCCCTAGCGCTGCCCGAGCAGTACATGTGGAAGATCAGCCGCGTGCCGGCCTTTCAGGCCGCCCCTTCTCTACTGCTGGGTTGGATCTTTAGACTTTGACTTTTTGGATTCCCCTCATAATTCCTTGTAACCAGCAAAAAGTCTGACTTTTTGCTGGGGGATCTACAGCACCCAAGACTTGAGCTCCCTCTTCCGAGGTGGGTTGAAGGGATGTGAAGTTGGGTCGGTTTGTTGTGTTTAAGTGTCACCCAGGTGATATTCCATTTCAACTTGGGTTTGTAGGTAAAGGGCTTGCCACCTTTTGAAAACCAAACGACAACTGGCGACGGGTTATCTACGGGGATCCACGGGTAAGTTTTGCGTGTATTGTTGGGCGTTGATGATCGTTTTCGCGTTAGTTGCTTTTGTTGTTGGGGTTATGTTCGTTTGCTGCGTTTGCGACCTCAGTCGAGCCAGGCGTAGTTGCGCCGTGAGTTGTTTGATCGCCGTCGTGACCTTGGTAACCTCTTTTCATGAACTGTATACTCATATTTAACATGAACGGGTATGTACAAAGCTCCTGACCACATTCTGGTCTCTGGAGGCATTCCACATGGAACTGGCTATGGCACACTCACACATGTATGTTTTATTTTATCACAAGACGGAATGTATCCATTGAACTTCTTTCTTACTTCACTTGATGTAAGTATACTACGTTCTTCATCCTGTCATTCACTAGTACCAAAATAATTGGATTATATGGTTTTGACAATGATAATGGTGGCCCTGGATTTTAAACACCCCCCCCCAAGTTGTCGTAGGTGTCCTTGTTAGCTTATTTTGACTAGAAGTAGATGGGTGCCACCGGTTTAGATGTGTCTCATGCCCGATTTACCAGGGCCATCTATTACCAAAAGGACACCTCTGCACGTGCCCAAACAACATATTTGACCCGGATGATGATTTCCCTGTATGTTTCTCCCCCATGAAAAAAACAGGGAACGGTCGGAGGTGCGTGTTCTTCCCACCTCAACAATTCTTTACATGGTTCTGGGTAGACCATTTTACTACCAGGTTTGATCATGACTCATCTCCCCGGTTTGAAGACACCCCCCACGTTGGTTTTTGCCCCCAAAAAAACCGGAAATGGAATGCCGGGTGGTGAGGTTCAATTCCTCGCACCCAATGTACCATGTCGTACCCCAGGAAATGGGAGGAACAGGGTGGAGGGCTACTGGATCGGCGGGAAAAGATCTCCATTTTGCAACCGATTTTACACATGTGGCTTTGACCAGTTGCAATGTTCAGGTGTATGCATCAGAATGATCCCTGAGCTTGGAGGTTCGGTTCGTTGGATCGGCAGGCCCGGATCTCCTGCTGGAGCTTCGTGATCACTTACAAGGAGAGCCTCGCCTCCTGCAGCCTCATGCTCAGCGCCTTCGGTTTTTCAGTGAGAGGGTCGGTCCAAGGGACGCGGACGGGGGTGGGAACCTTTGGGGTGCGCATCATTTAGGGCATGGGGATTTCTGATCACCACTAGGTCCCCCAGCAATTGGTGCCCTTCTGAACCCTTTTTTTTTGGTTGGGAGGGTTCCCCTACTAAAACAGACTACAGCAAAAAGGGTACCCTTATAGCCGTCCGGGTTCAAGCACCCCTCGGCTCAGGGAGCCGAGCCCCCGGGGCAGGGCTGGGGCTCCACTGCCCGGTCCTGCGTCCAAAAAGCCATGGCTGGCAGCTCCGTCTTCAACCTGCTCCTCGTGCACCCCCTGGTCACCCTCTTCATTCGCCGTGTTTGTGATGTGTCGTCTTCGGGGAGCTTATCCGCTTGGTGACGCTTTCGTTGCCGGTCCGCTTCACCCGGGAGGCATCCTGGCCTTTGGGTCAGTCCCAGCCTCGAGACACCCCCTTTGTTATGCAGTGAAGGTATTGCTGGCCTTCGGCCCCTTTGATGCCTCGTTCTCTTCACGCTCTGCATCTGCTTCTCTGGGCGGGTCTACCTGTGTGTGGGTTGTGCCCTTTTGACACCTTGGGCTTCTTCGGCAGTGGTAATGCGGGCTGCCTTGCCCATCGTGCCCTTGGGTCGTTAGGGCTGCTACCTCATGGTGCTGTCCAGGGCTTGCTTGTCCAACTTCGGGCCCTACGCTTGTACAGCAGTTTTGTGCCTCCCCCTTTTCTTGGTGTGCTGCCGGGGTTTTGCCCGGCGCGCCTTGTCGCACAGTGCGCCGGTGGGCCTGCTCACCCGGCCTGCGCTCTCCGAGGAGCTTTATGTGTCACGGCCCTGAGGGCCTCCGTTACTGGTGGTGGGGCGGCATGCCCCACTCACCAGCGCAGCCGATCGCGGATGCGCCATGTGCCAAAAGGGTACCCTTATTCTAACCTCTCTACTGGAGGCCTAGTTTAGGTCACAGGGATGTCTGATCACCTAGCAACTTTGAGTTGGTCCCCTGTCAAAACTTGGCGAATCGAACACCCAAGCAGCTGCATGTCCAAAACCCCAGTTCACGGTGGACCAAAGGCTCAAGAGCGCCAGTTCGCCGCTATGGGGGATCTCCGGTGTTTGTTTGGTCTATTTGGCTAGAGAGAGGTTCCACAAGGGTCTTTCTTTTTAGGGGGCATGGCTTCGCTGTTCCCTTTGCAAAAAACATGGCACCAACCCCAGGGGTCCCTATATTTCCCTGTTTGGCTATTTTAAACATCGCCTTTTTGGCCCATGAAAGGTGAGTATCCCTTGGTGGGGATGATGTTTTCAGCGGAAGTATAGGGAGCCCTGAACCCAGAAGAAAAAAAGGACACAGTCACAGAAGGTGATCACCGTTGACCAGGTCCTTTGGGCCAGTGTGGATGTTTTTCTTGGGCGGGACCCCGGTCGGCTGCTCACGTCACCTCTCGAGGTTGGCCCATCGGCACGTCGTTTTTTTTGGTTCTTTTTCCAGAGCCCCTATCCTTGTGAGCTGGCGTGTCCTCCCTTTTTGCTTAAGGGAAGAGCAGGAAAGTCTTGAACACCCATGCTCCGAAGGCGGACAATTGGAGGGGCGTTCCCAGGTGGGCTGAATTCTAGCCTTGTGAAGATCGGGTCTTTGAAGCAGCATTCTTTGCGTTCCATGTTTACCCTGTCTGGGTTTCCTGTCCACCTCTCCTGCTCCGGTTTTCCTTTTTTGGCAGGTTTCTCACCATGGTCGCCGGTTGCAACTAGGGCTCTGAGGGAAGCCCAGCTTAGATGCACTGGGACTTAAGTACTTCTGGTTGCACGTCCCCTAGGTGGGTTATACCCGTAGCCGCCAGTAAGCTAACTCGGCCATCTGAGAAGGACGTGGTTTTGTGTCAGGTACGTTTCAAAGGGAAAACCAAGAGCCATAAGGCTCATGACCCCTCCAATGCACACCCCGCGAGCCCTGCATTGAAAACAATCCATTTTGCGGCCCAAAAACAATCAGCAGCCTTTGGGAGGCTGCCCATAAAAAGGGAATTCACCCCACAATTTTGGTCTGCAATAACCAATTTTTCGGCTTGCATGTCGAGAGTCCAGGTCCCCTTTTTGAGGTGGGTTTACAGCAATAACACAGTCTTAAGGAATTCGGAGTGTCCAGGTACGCCTGGTTGAAGACATCCGCGATATTTCTGGGGGATCCCCGATGTTGAGAACCCAGTTTGAGCGAGCCGTCCGCGTCAGGCGAGTTCCAGGTCATTGAGAGCTCCCTGCGGAGCTCGGAGGCGTTGAAGCAGCTGCTGGCCTTGATCCTGGCTGTGGGGAACTACCTGAGCCTCGGAACAAACAACAAAAACGTAGATTCCTGCCGTTTCGCAAGTGGGCTCGGCCCATTTGGAAACAAAGATACATCGCAGTGTTAAAAGCCGCAAATGTTGACTCCATGTTGAGGAATGTCTATTAATAGGGGGGTGTCCCTAGGTTTGGTGGGGAATCATCACTGCAGAACGACCGTTCCGATGGACAAACTCGTGAGATGATGTGAGCAGCCAATATTCAGCTGTCCCCAAACAAAAAACATCGACACTTGCCCAAAACCTGGACAACGGCGATCACCTTCTGGGTGTGTCTAAAACTGAGTTGGTACCCCTTGTTTAGCGGTTTTGAAGGGAAACCAAAAGGACAACTTGAAGCCGTGCCCTCTAAAAACACACACACACAGACACACAGCGCAGATCCCCCATATCGGCGCACTGGCAGATCGATCTTCGGGCTTCGGTTTTACCGTGGGCTTTGGACATGCTACTTGGGTGTTCGAGTCGTCAAGTGAGTAAGTTGTTGGTTTCCGGTTACCTAAGTTATGAGCCCATCATTGAATTAAGCCCAGTCAGTGGGTTATATCTCATTTGGCTAACCACTTACTAACTTGGCCGAACACCCAAGTGGGTATTTTGACGGAAGAAACTCAATTAGGAGGTCTGCCAAAAGGAGATTCCTCTCAACAAATGGTGGTTTTTCAGGTTCCGTGTTAATCTGGAGGAATGGTCCAGAATTTCGAGTTTTCTCAAATGGACACCAACAGGTGATGGGTGGGTCATGTTTTCGTTGCTTCCCCAGACCCCCTTGTTAGCACCTGCGAGCGCCTCCGGAGGACAATTTTTCTTTTGGAAAGGAGTGTCCACTTGCATGTTTGTTGGGGGCGTAGTCAACTGGATACCTCCCCACCAGCGTGAAGCCAGAGGGTTGAGGAACATGGTGGCGTTGATCAGGGCTCGTTTGGCCGTAAATTTGATGCACCGAAGTTTACAGCTGCACGACGGGCCTCGGAAGTACCGATGCAGATCCTTGAAGGCACCTTGCCCGGCAGCACAGAACCAATATCCCGTTGCGAACCAGAACGAGCCTGAGGTACGGTCGCAGGTCAGCACCATTTGCAGGCAGATTCCAGGATAGATCTGTAACCTGCGAGTGGGCGAGCTCTCACATGATGACAATCTTTTACTCGTAGGGATTTCTTAATTGTAGTGAATTACAGTGGTTAGTTAGTGCAGATCGAGTCCGTGGTAAGTGTTGGAAGCCCTTTTGCTGAAATGCAGAGTGTTCTTCAGATACCCTTCCGGTTCCTTTGCTTTGGGTTGCAAACCGTCCCAAGGGTCCCGACAGTGTGAGACATTTTCCAAATATATACAGGCTGAAGCCCGCCGGTGCGAAACACATGGGCAGATCAGAAATTTTGACCTCGCACATAGGTCTTGCCACCTCAGCCCTGGCGTTCCTTCCCTTAGTTTAGGTTATAGCTGTTACTGAGTTTCTATAATTCGCTCAGATCGTTTATTCTTTCCAGATCTCTCTAGGTGTGTCTGTTTTTTTTGAGGACCCACTCAATCGTTGGTTTTTGTTTTTTCCTTTTTTGGTTCGCCTAAGACCCAATCCGAAAGGGGTTCCCTAAAAAAATTGGACACCCCCATCTACAGAATGGGATGCTCCCTGACGACGTTTGGACAAATTCGTTGAGGAAGGTATCCCTTGTCTCACTTCCTGAGTTCATGAACTTTAAGCTTTTTGGGAAGACCATTTTAGTGGTAAATATAAAGCTTGAACTTTTTTTGGGCCATCCACTCAGCAAGTGAGTTGTGGCCGAAACTGGGTTGTGGGAGATGCCCATGTCGAGCGTCAAGTCCCGATTTGAACAAACGATCCCCTATTCAATCAGCGTACCCGTTCAACGGGTTCTAACAGGTTCATGCTTGCTTGCACCAAAGGACAATCATGCATGTAGCATCCCAGCAATGAACGTAGGACCTGACAGTGACCCAGTCCCTTTCGTAGCATCCTAGAACCCATTTCTTCGAACCTTAGGTTCGCCCAATTTGAGCATTGATCTAGCTGTTCCCTCCCATTCTCTTCAGGGATCCTTCTCTTCACAAAATGGGCCAACCCCTGGACAATTTTGGTGGTTTCTAAAGAGAACAAGATGAGGTTTTGAAGGGAATCTATCACAACTGAAAGAAGCATGTATGTTTTTCTTTTTGCCAGAGGGCTTCTGTACCCTGCTCATTCTCTTCAGGGATCCTTCTAGCCAACTCCGTGGCTGAAGCAAATGGAAGCATTTGTCAGAACCCTTTACGAGCCTTGAGCCCCTTACGGCACCACGAGCTCGTCGCCCTCAGGAATGGCAGCACGGAGCGAGGCCAAGCAGATGGCTTCGACTTGGAGACCTTGACGCTCGGCGCTCCAAATGACCCGAAAAGGAATTAGCCAACCCCTGTTTATGAATAGGCGGGTGTCCCTGTCTACTCTCCCGCAAGTTCACATCCACGCTTGCCCAAAGGACCTGGACAACGCGGATCACCTTCTGGGGTGTGTCTTTGGAATTGGTACCGGACTTTTGTGGGTGGTTTTCAAGGGAAACAATCAAGGAGAACAAGACAAGGACGCATTTGGAGTCGGTATCCCGAATTCTGAGTTGGTATCACTGTCACCGAAATGACCGAAAGGTCCTTTTTGTAGACTGGAGTTGGCACCACTTTGTTTGTTGCCGTTCAAGGGAAACCACCTACACGGATGTCTTCTTGTAGAGTTGGCACACCCAAAATTTTGTTGGGGGGTTTTCAAGGGAAACAAGCAAGAAAGACGAGCCCCTTTTTTTTTGGGGGGGGGGGATTTCGGACAGGGGCGATCGGGTGACCCAGAGGTTCCGCCATTTTTTTTGGGTGAGGGAAGCTGACCTGTTCTCGATTGTCGGGTGATTGAATATATGGCAATCGCCGCCATATGATTTGAACCTTACGGAGGTTTTGGCACATCACGTCAGCGCGATTTAGCTGAGACCCAGTGTTTTTCTTCGACCAAGGACAAAGCTGGACAGCGTGAAAGACAACGCTGCTTTTCCGCCTGTTGGAGTCGCCGGTTCGTCGCTGATGAATTCAGAATCATTTGGGTTTGTCCTTTTTGGAGGGTACCCTCCGAATGAACATGAACCTGACTGGGGGTCCCTTTAAACGGCAGGTTTCAGGATTCCCAGTCGAGGAATCCACGATTTTGGGGCTCCCGGTATTTCAAGACGCGTACCTTTGCTGCGAAGGGATTGACTCTGGGTGCACTCCCCAAGCTACCGCGGTCTTGCTCGCCCGGGGGCATGGACAATGACCGTGGCTCATTTGAGACAAGAAACGTTTCAATCCATGATGTACATAGGTGTCCTTTTTGGTTGTTTTGCTGGAAAAATGGCGATTCCTGGTTTACCTGGTGGTTCAATCATCTACCAGGGAAAACCATCTATTTCCGCGAAAAGGATACCTATGATGTTGTATGTACGCAGTTCGTGGGTTTGTGATCTAGGCGTCGTTGCTTAAGCAACCTTTTCTGGGCTCCTTGGGGGCCTTTTGAGAGCCATTGGGTCCCGGGTGCCAGTGCGGACCCGGGTGTCAGCTGAGTTTGCTGGGAGCAAACTCCGGAAGGCGCGGAGGGTTTTGTGCCTTGTGCCCAGGTTGTGCAGTCGAGAGACGTTGCTCGGCGAGACTTTGGCATTAGCAAACTGTCAACTGTATGCGCGCGTGTGGTGGGTGGGTGGGTGGGTGGGTGGGTGGGTGGGTGGGTGGGTGGGTGGGTGGGTGGGTGGGTGGGTGGGTGGGTGGGTGGGTGGGTGGGTGGGTGGTTGGGTGGGTGGGTGGGTGGGTGGGTGGGTGGGTGGGTGGGTGGGTGGGTGGGTGGGTGGGTGGGTGCTTGTTTGTTTGTTTGTTTGTTTGTTTGTTTGTTTGTTTGTTTGTTTGTTTCGAATCTTGCCTTTGGGCTTCAACTAAACAATTTTGCATGAGGCTAAGTACTTTGCCTTGCAGGCTTGCTTTTGAGTTTGCTTTCATGCGGGTCGAAACCCGTGGTTGATCAGGAATCCTGCACTTTTGGACGGAACATCTCCACATTGATAGAACGGGGTTTGCCTTAGCTAGGTCCCCAAGTAGTGCCCTTTTACCCCTACTAAAATAGACTACAGAAAAATTTGGTACCCTTATCCTAACCTCTCTACTCAAAAGACCTAGTTCGGTTGTCCCCCTTTTGGACCCCGAGGCAAGACACTTGATCTTTGAGCTCTTCTTCTGTGGTGGTCAGGCCGGGACGTGGAGCCAGGTAACGCCGCACCAGTATTGAGCATGTTCTGTGTGAACAATATCCCGCGGTGACCCTTTCAAGGGTCACCAAGAAGAACCCAAGATTCAAGGAAACGGGGTGGATTCGCGCTTTTTGGTGGATTTCACCAGTTCTTCCCCGTGTAGGTTCTTTGTTACTTCTCTTTCAGTCCTCTTTTCATATCCTATGGGAGTGGATCCACAGATTCGCCGCATCTAAGCTGAGCAAACGGGCTCTCTGACGTTGCAAAAGGGTGAATGGCCCCTTCGAAGGTGCTTGCAGGGCGAGTTTCTCCATCGGTGTTTTGTATTGTTTGTTCATTGCCGCCTTGAGGGAACACAAGCTTGGGTGGTTGTTTTTTTTAGCTTTACTTACGCAGGCATAGGTGTCCTTTTTAGGTTCTGGTTAGAAGTACACGGGTCCCACAGGTTTATATAGATTGGTTTTGTTCCGTTTACCAGAGCCATCTATGTGTCCAAAGGTCTATGGGTGATCGGCAAATCTCGGCGGCTTTTGAACAATTTGTGTTGCAATTTGGAACCGCTGGGGTTGTTCCTTCGCTTGGGGCATGGGTAACGAAGCGGAGCTCAAACATGAGCCACGGCTCCCATTTGGGGATCTCCATACTTCCCCAGAATTAGTTCCCCTTATTTATGTTCTCGCTTTTTTGGGGTCCCTTTTGTTTTGTCCCCTTTGTTTTCCACTAAGCAAACAAGTATATAGTTTTTTTGCTGGGGTCCAAATTCCAGCCAAGCATAAGCCCCGAAAGTTGGCTCCAGGAGGCCTTCTGAAGCCTGTCCCATTTCAACGGGCCCCGGGGCAGCCAAGGCTTGGCCGATTTCAGCCATATCTTTTTGGTTGTCCGCCATCTTAAGCCACCCAGCTCCCCCAGCTAGGTGCCCCTTTACCTTTCTTTGGGGGAGGGTTCTCCTACTAACATAGACTACAAAAAAAAGCGTGCCCTTATTCCTGGAGGACCTAGTTAAGCCACCACTCCCCCCCCCCACTCTGCAGCCATCTTTTTTGGCGGGTCATGTTCTACCAAGCTTCCGCGACTTCCAGTCCACTCCCATCAACTTGGCGCCGACCATCTCGTTCTCTCGTCAACCGGGGCTCCTGCCCTTCATCCTGCCCTGCATTTCTTCGGGTTGGGGATCTGGGAATCGGATCCAACTTGGGGCCACTTCCATGGGCTCAAAGGAAGATCGTTCTTTTTCTTTTTTTCTCTTGTTTGTTTCAAGGGGATCGATTTCACTACTGGACATATGAAATCTCATATTATACATGTTTGTTTCCGGGCGAAAACGCACATGGAGGTTGTGGTAACTAACCGGAGCAAAGCCATCCATGGTAAAAGCCAGGGGTAAAGTATCCTTGTTGCCTACTACTGTGGATGGACGAAATCCTGCACCAGAAAAACCCTGGGGTGATGCTTCCCCCAAACAATGGTTTGCTTTGGTTTCAAAGTGGTGCTGGATTTCGTCCACCCGCAGTGTGGGAACTGGACGCCCGTTTTCCCCGCGTCGCGCTTTTTTTCTTCCTGAGGGTTTTTGTATTACACCCTGGGACTACACCCTTGGGAAATGACCCAGAATGGTTCAAAATAACACGGCTTTATCCGGGCATGTGCCTAAATGGGGTCAATACCCAGGTGTATTCCCAGGGTGTAATACAAGAACCCATACATGTTTTGGGGCGGCAGGACATGGGCCAGTTGGCCCTGGACGAGCCGAGCCGCTGCTACGACCGGGGAGCGCAGCTCATGGAGGAAATCGGTGAGTGCCGCGCTGGTCGCGTGCTCTGTTGGGTCGGGTTTCCCGTTCCATCCGCAGCCCTGCGCGCGCGCGCGCGCGGGTGTGTGTGTGTGTGTGTGTGTGTGTGTGTGTGTGTGTGTGTGTGTCTGTGTGTCTGTGTGTCTGTGTGTCTGTGTGTCTGTGTGTCTGTGTGTCTGTGTGTCTGTGTGTGTCTGTGTGTGTCTGTGTGTCTGTGTGTCTGTGTGTGTCTGTGTGTCTGTGTGTGTCTGTGTGTGTCTGTGTGTGTCTGTGTGTGTCTGTGTGTGTCTGTGTGTGTCTGTGTGTGTCTGTGTGTGTCTGTGTGTGTCTGTGTGTGTCTGTGTGTGTCTGTGTGTGTCTGTGTGTGTCTGTGTGTGTCTGTGTGTGTCTGTGTGTGTCTGTGTGTGTGTGTGTGTGTGTCTGTGTCTGTGTGTGTCTGTGTGTGTCTGTGTGTGTCTGTGTGTGTGTGTGTCTGTGTGTGTGTCTGTGTGTGTCTGTGTGTGTGTGTCTGTGTGTCTGTGTGTGTCTGTGTGTGTGTGTGTGTCTGTGTCTGTGTCTGTGTCTGTGTCTGTGTCTTTTTTGATTTTCTGTTGGGAAACATTTTACATCTTTGCTTATTGTGGTTTAGTTTAGTGGTTGAAATCCAACCACTTAGTTGCTAACATTTCAGAATCCTTGCTCCCCTTCCAACGTCAACCAATCTGTGCTCGGTTGGGCTGGTTTCCCGACAAATCCGCAGCACTGTGTGAGCTTTTTGTTTTGCCCACTGGAGGTTTGGTATCTGAAAAAAGAGAGAACGCAGCATCAACCTTGGTTGGATCTTTGGTGATCTTTGAAAAGCTGTTCAAGAAGGAAACAAGGGGAATTTTCCGGATTGGACCCACAGCAAGTCCAAGACTTTTTGCAGAGGGGCCGTTACAGCAACCACGTCTTGCGGAAACCCAAAAGGAGGATATGTTAAGCCTTCATTTGCGGGGTAGTCCGACATATGTCGCTTTTCTCACACTGCAATGGCCGCTTGGTGCCGCCTTTTACTTTCACACCTTCCCCCCATTTGTCTTGTTTTCCCTGGCAGTGGCAAGGCCACGTGAACACATGAGGTTCTTCAAGAGGAAATTGACGTCACGTTCTTGAGACGTTTAAAAAAAGCTGGGAGTGGTTCTGCAGAACATGTCACAACTGATCAGCCAAATGGGTCATGATATCTGACCGATCGTTCTAGTCTTCAGAACATTGGCAGCTGAACACATGTTTTTCGCGCAGCATCTCTGAAAAGGGCCCTAGCCTTAGGAGTCTTCCTTTAACAAGCAGCCTAGGCCTTGGATCGGCGTTTTCGCTTGGATCGGTTCTTCAGGACCTCGCGCCCTTGCTGAAGAACGTGAGCCGCGCCGTGCAGCGGGACTCCGAGGGAGTGCTTTGGAAAGAACTGAGAGACGTTACGTGCTTCGAGTGACCTTTTTTGGTTGAACGCTTTGAAGCAGGGTTGTGGGATCAAGGGGTTTCTCCCCACTTCTGTGATACAAGGGAATCCCCCTTTATATGAAGAAAATAGCTTTCTGTTGTATCACAGAAGTGAATTCCATTTCCCACAGCCCTGTTTTGAAGGGAAGCACAATTTCAAGTTTACCAATTTGGTTCAACCCTTGGCTTCCCGGGCCCAGGATTCTATTTGCTGAAAACAATTTGGCGGTGGCTCAAAATTAAACAGGAGGGGTTACGCAGGTTTTGGTCCATGTTTCCACTTTCCAGGATTCCATTTTGGTGCCAGTTTTTTGAGCCACAGCCATTTGTTTGTTATGTTTTCTGTTGGTTTGAAAGGGAATCGATATTGCTCGTGCAAATATTCTCAATTTTTGCAGTGCTTCCAGTTGCCATTATAGGAAGCGACTAGCCGGTGGTTGGAAGGGAGCCGGTACAGAGCTGGGGGTATCTTTTAAGGGGGAGCTAAGGAGCTAACAGGAGTTCTGTGAGGACAAGGTAAGGTACCATTATTTGGGCTGTTCAAAGGCAATCCTTTGGGTTACCCAAGGAACCGTTTGTAGTGGCTTTCCAAATGGGAGTATGGATTCGGATGAGCCAACACTCCATTTTGAAGAACGCAGATTATAGTAAGTAACCGGAGACGACAATCCAGAGGTAAAATTGTCTGGTGACCTACTATGGTGGTAACTGGAAGCACGGAGCTCAACACTGGTTGGTGCACATAAATCTTGCAGGATGATAAATGATGTGGGTGTGTCTCAAAATAGAACCCACCAAATGTGGGTTCCCTTTGGTTTCCCTTTAAACCAACCCAAAACAACACATGCGCATGCCTGCCAAATCCCGGTTAAAGTTCCATAGGGACTGTTGTTTGGATCACTACATTGGCTGATCATAATCCAACACGTGAGTTGGGGTTGGGTGGAAGCTATGCTGGTCGTGTGGACTTGAGATGGAGGGGGGGGGTTCGGGGTTGGTCCGGTGTCAGAAGGGCCCAGTCAATGTTCAGGGGCAATCTGTCGGACTTACTGGGTGCCCCCACGAGTGAAGATGCCCTTTTTAGACTTGCACATACGCCTGGAATCAACCAGTTGGAATTCAGGGTTCCCATTGGACCAAGAAAGCTTCCTGTCTGTCGTGTCTTTGCGTGTCCAGATTTGTTGGTTCTGCTTATTTTGGGGGGTTGAAGAGCGAAGTCTGTTTAGACTCCGCGGGTTGGTATATGGGTGTTCCTCGTTGCCCAGTGAACCTGGCAAAATAAAATTCAGACCCGTCAAGCAAAAAGGGATTTCTAAGGTACTGAGCATCAAACTGTGCTTAGTGTTTGTTTGCTTTGGACTTTATCAACATCATTTCTCAAATTTCGGATCCTCTTTTGGACCCCTTTCTTCCAACCCAACAAAAACATCGCATGCGGAACCCGGACCAAACAATCAAACCTACGCCCTACGTTTCCGACTCCCGCCCCGTGGGTTGCCACAAACACACGCCCCACAAAACCAACTGCCGCGCCGCGGACCCGTGGACCCGTGATCGTTGCGTTTGGCCGCCTCGCATTATTTTACCATCAAAGTCACCCCCGTTCAGCGGTGGGTTAAAGGGAAACACCCGATTCCATTTTTCTGACTTTGATAACCCCCAGAAACTGGGGTCATTATAGTAGTTCTGGGGTCATTATACAATTCTGCAAACTGGGGTCATTCTTTGATAACTCCCGGAAACCGTCTTAAAGTAATGACCCCTGGTGTCGTTTCGCCGCCCGAGACGCTGAAGATGATGAAGAACGTCCGGGTGGGACTTGAGGAGGCCGAGGAGTCGCTGAGGAACTTGAGCCAACAGCGGCTCGGGCGGTGAGCCGTTGAGATGGGCTGGGCTGGTTTTAGGAGACACGTCTCCTCAAATGAAAAGATGGACAAATAGATACGTAAAAATGGAAAATACATATATATATATATATATTTATATACATAGCTATAAATCAATAAATGAATACATAGATGCATTGTTGAATGGGGTTTTCCTCTTGGCTTCCCTTTAAAACCGGAAAACACACGGTAGCCTCAAAGCAAAGAACAACGCATATGAACCTTGCTCCAAGGCGGGCCCAAGGGCAGGGTTTCCGAGCGGAACCTAAAGTGTCAGTTTTCGTGGACACCAACAGACAATTGCAACCTTTGAAGGGGTCCAGTGACTTTTGCTGGGTCTTTAGTCGCAAAGAGACAAAAAAATAACTGTTTTTGGTCGGATCCACCGAAGTGACACTGCTCCGCTGCACATGAACGGATGGAGAGCCGATCAAGGGGGTCCTGGCGGCTCTGCAGGACAGTCAGGAAGTCGCTCTGACGTGGGCCTCCAGGGCTCCATAAAACTGCTTTGCAGATCAATGCAAGGGGCCCTTTCGAGAGGGGAGTCCTTAGAATCCATGTAATGTTGACCCCAGATTTATCAACCCCAGTTTAGTCATAGGGGGGGGTTCCCCATCCAAAAGTGATGATGCCCGACTAAGCCCAGGGACACCCTCTATTAATCGATTAAACTGGCATTTACCCTCATGGGTCAAGCGTTGCATTGCTTACCTCTTAAAAACACAACTTGTCAACTTTTTGGGGGTAACATGGGCTATATGTCTGTAAAAGCTTAACTTTTTCAGGGCTTGGAGTTTTAAGGGGTCAAGCGTTGGTGTTTCTTCCCAATCGGATTGTTTGGAATTGATTAAGAGGTCCCAGTTTTGCTCCGTTTGACCTCTGACCCTCACCAATATCACTAGACCAAACTTCAAGAGCGAACTCCGAGCCTCCCAAAAGCAGGGTTGTGGGATCAAGGGGCTTTACCCCACTTCTGTGATACAAGGGAATCTCCCCCTTTATATGGGGGGTTAGTCTTTGGGAAGCCCTTTTTGTTGTATCACAGAAGTGGTCATTTCCCACAGCCCTGCTTTGACCCAAACTTCCAGTCCCAGTTTTGCTCCGTTTGACCTCTGACCCTCACCAATATCACTAGACCAAACTTCAAGAGCGAACTCCGAGCCTCCCAAAAGCAGGGTTGTGGGATCAAGGGGCTTTACCCCACTTCTGTGATACAAGGGAATCTCCCCCTTTATATGGGGGGTTAGTCTTTGGGAAGCCCTTTTTGTTGTATCACAGAAGTGGTCATTTCCCACAGCCCTGCTTTGACCCAAACTTCCAGTCCCAGTTTTGCTCCGTTTGACCTCTGACCCTCACCAATATCACCAAACTAAACTTCAAGAGCGAACTCCGAGCCTCCCAAAAGCTTGCTTGTGCTCAGGGAATGAGACATGGAACGACCCCTTTAGCTGCTGGTGTTTCCTTTCTTCGGGAGTTCCCGACCGGTTCAGATCTCAATCCCGGCCGTTTTTTTGGCACCGGGTTTGCGGAAAGAAAAGAACAAAAAACAAAAGAAGCTTGTCTCAAACAGGGCTCCTTAAAAGATCTCCATTTTGCAACCATTTGAAACATGGCCTTTTCCACACCAAAATCAAGGGACACCTCCATTTACAAGTGGAAATGTTCAGGTGTAGAATGTAAGGATCCCTGTCAAAATAGGACCCCCCTCCAAAATGGGCGGTTTCCTCTGGGCTTTTCCCCATGAACCACCCCCCCCCCCCAAACGGGCACCCAACCCCCCCCGCGCCCACAGAGACCCATCGATCGAGCCGCTGTTTGGTGAGGCTGGCGGAGCAGTTGGAGGCGCTGCAGATGGCCCTGCAGTTCACGGAAGATCCAGTGGACCCCCTGCGCCTCAGACCGATTTGGCCAAGCCCGGGCGTTTCAAAGGGTTCGGGGGTATTTTAGGGGTTGATTCCTTTTCCATTCTAGGTGGAGATTCATGGGGATTCATGTCCACCAACCACTTTTGAGGTGGTTCCCTATTAAAATTCATGGCCACATATCTAGGGGTCGATTCCCCATTCCAATTCTTTTCAGCCATCGTTCTGTTTCAAAAACCAGGACGTTTTCCTGGGTTTCCGGAGGTTTTGTAGAACGAAGGATCCTGGACAGAATGGGGGAAGGTACCCATGGAGGTATGGGTCAAAATTCGTCACCGGGAATTGCACCGAAGTGTTTTTTTTGGGGTCCTAGCTTCCATATTTACCGGGGCAACCCATGTTGGGTACCGATTCTTGCCCCAGTTCCTTCTTGGAAGCTCGAAAAAGGTAGCAGTTTCGATGGACGCCACAAAACCCGTCCCATTGGGGGGTGTTCCCTCCAAAAGTGGTCTGAATCCCCACTAAAAGGAATTGGACACCCCCCAATCAAATTCAACCAGGGGTTTATTAATCCGGGGTTAGCATTAAGTTGTAACTTTTCAGGGGGAAATGTCCAGTGAGCTCTGCAATACTTTCAGCTACTTTCCAGATTCTCAGACTGGGGTGATTCAGTTCGGCGATTCTCTACTTATGAAGCTGCTTTCCAGTATCTTTCTTGTGGGTCCTCAGGTTTGAGTGGCCTTACTCTTGGGCACAAGCTTTCACTTTTTAACCTTTAATAGTTAATGTTGTAGCTGAAAAGGCCAAGTTATGGTGGGCATCATCGGGCGATCTATGTCCACAGCCAAATTTGGTGTTTCTCAAAATCCCCTAGAATGGCCAGGGTTTCCTCTTCGCTTCCCCGTCGCAAATACCAAGGCTGTTGGCCCACAAGTAAATCCCATCTTGAGAAACTCCCCAGCTTTTCCTGCAGCCCCATCACCTTTGTTTCCTTTTGTTTCAGGCAGGGGGGGGGTCCCTATGGTATAGGACGTTCGCTCCTTCCATTGTTTTAAAACACCAACCATAACGTCACTGTTATATAAACTATGTGCAAGCCCAGTTTTGCTCACAAAATTGGAAGCACCCCAAACACCATATACATATATATACATATGTATGTATAAATCGCCTTTGTTTCAAGAGAAAAACATAAGCTCAGGTGATATCCCCAACAGCATGCGCTGTATTTTTTAGTGCTCGCACCACCCCGCAGCCCTCGTAGAACCTCGTGGAACTCTCGTGGAACCCTCGTGGAACCTTACCTCAGGGCCGCCCCACCCCGAGCCTATCTGGGCTGAGACCCCAAAGCTTTCAGCTGTTGGGGAAAATCCCAATCCCCACTAAAATAGACTAAAATGGGTAATGTTGACCCAGGATTAATAAACCTGTCCCATCATTAGGGGGGTGTTCCCTCCAAAAGTGATAAACCCCCACTAAAAGGGGACACCCCCCCTACCCCAACCAGCTTTGTTCGTTGGACCTCCCGAAGAGCGAAGCGCGAAGCGCGAAGCGCCCGAAGAGCCCAGGAAGCTGCACATGTCCTCCGATCTGCAGGCGGCCAAGGCGGAGATCTCAGCCCTGGAGACGCAGGCGAAGAGCTGCCGGGAGTTGCTCGGAACACGGAGCTTTTTTTTAAATGTTCTTTGTGTGTTTTGCTTTTGTTCTTCCGTGTTTTTGAGGGGGGGGGTTGGTGTCTTCCATCGGCTTTTCCCCTGGATCATTGTTTTCGCGTTTTTGGTTGATGCTTCACACTTCCTGAGTGGATTGGCCTCAACAATCCAAAGTGCTCGTACCAACCATGTAAAGAGCCAAAAAGGGCGGATATCCGCACGCATTTGTGAATGGTTGGGATTCTCCCTTACCGGGTTATGATTTTTGCCTGGAACATATGTACGGCAATGTACGGGAATCTATCACTACTGGAGATAGCTAGGGTTCTTGTTTTCAGGTGTTTTTGTTGCCCAAGAGGAAGTCAGAGGTGTCCTTTTCACGGGATATTCTGGTTAGAGAAAGATGTGTTCCGCCGGGGTTTATGCCCCATTTACCAGGGGCCTGTATTTGTTTTATATTGGTTTTAGGCCCCACTTTTCAATCATAACCCGGTAAGGGAGAGTCCCAACCATTAATAAATGCGTGCGGGTATCCGCCTTTTTAAACTTTACATGGTTGTGGGTACACACAGTGGATTCTTGTTGAGGCCAATCCACTCAGGAAGTGTGAAGGATACAGATATGTCTCTTAAAAGAAAACCGATGAGCTAATAGTAGTTTGTTTGACAAGCCTGGGGCTGGGCAATACTCTTGATTGGGGTGTGGGCCTGTGGGTAAATCCATTTCCCCAACATGAATTTGGCTGAGAAGGAAGACAAACGGGCTTGGCTACACAGATCCAATGAACACCTGATGATCCAGGCCCGCATGGGTCTGGCTTTTGTGAAGATACTCCTCGTTTTGTGGGTTTAAAGGGAGACCACAAGGAAGACCGACATCCAATTTGGGAGCCAACCGTGTAAAGAAGGATCACTTTGAAAGAAGGGAGGTCCAACCTCAAAGAGAGACAGACCCGCATCCCGATGAGTGCGTAATGCCTCAATGCGCTCTGGGACGGCTTCGGCTGTTTGCCAGCACAATCATGGAAGGTGAGGGCCCTCCTTCTCCCATGTTTCCTTGGCGGGCAAATGGGAGATCATATATGGGTCCTGGGTCGCCAGTTGCTCTTTTTGTTCCATGCACTTTAACCCCACAAACCAGCAACAGTGACTGAAAAAAGCGATCGCAACTTGGCTATCTAGGGTGTGTCTTTTCGGACCTCTCTCCCTTCTTCCTACATGTGCTCCCCCCCCTTCTGCTCCGTCGGCCGAGGAACTACAACGGCCTCATGAAGTACTTCAACCACTCGGGCATGACACTTGACTTGACCTCTTCCCAAGTTTGTTTTGTTGGAAGCGAGGTGTTCCCTTTTGAAACTAAATAGGGAAGGCAGCACCAAACCAAACCACCGAGCTCCAAACCACCAAGGGGGAAGCTGACAGTCCTTGGCGTTTCCCAGGCCCTTGGGAATTTTAGATCTGTTTGGTGCTTGGTGTGGATTTCCGAATTTAACCCACGCAACGTTATTCACTTTTAGCGGGGGGGTTGAAAACGGACAGCCCAGATAAGCAAGGAACAGGGGCAAGTCAAGTCCTTTGATCTTTTTTTGGGAGTTTCTTGGGGCTAGAGCTGCCCCTTCAGAAGGAAGCAAGAGGGCGCGTCAGAAAGTGCAGGACTCTTCTTGAAGCCGCATGCCGGCCTTTTCCTACGAAAAGGGGTCTCTAATGTTCCACTTTCTTATTGTGTATTTTAATTTGTTTGTTTTTGGTGGGTGGTGGGGGGTAAACATCACTACTTTGGCCTATTCAAGCTGATATTCCCTTTGTTGGGGTGATGTTCGGTTTGAAACTAGAGGGAGCCCTGCAAAACGGGTTGCAGAAGGAAGAGCCAGCACCCCGACCTGCAGGAAGAGTAGTGACTTCATCCTGCTCTGGGACAACCTGCTCATTCCGGAGGATGTGGTCTTGTCCATTCCGCGGCCCGGGCGTGTGTCCGAAAACGGCGCCGTTTTCGCTACCGCCAAATCAAGAACTGGATTCCTCCAGGCCTCTTAGGATCAAATCCCCCCAAATTGGCGATGTCCCTTCTGGCTTTCCTTTCACTCCACCCAAGAAGAATTGTCCACAAACCCACACGATTGTGTTTCCTTTTGGTTTTTTCTGGGACTTGACCAGGAAGGAATGCAAGAGGTTTGAGGTAGGAACAAAACCATCCGGATTATATACCAGGGTGGGGTCAAAATTAGAATAGCAGGGGACCGCAGGTGTTAGTCCCTGTTTCCATTTAACAGGGTTCCATTTTGGGGCCCTATTTGTGACTCAGACGCAATTGTAGCCTCTACCCAGCGGAAAAGCGGGGTTTGGTTTTGGCAGGAACGCCCTTTAAAGTGAATAAATAGTCATGGGATGGGAATCCTAACCACAACCATGATGAATGCTCCTACTTTCAGGCCGTGCATGCCCACCCCACACCACAGGCTTGTGAGCCCTTAGGGCTTAGCGTTAGTTCTCGGTTCTGGGGAACATGCTTGGATGTTCGGCGAAGTCGGTATGTGGATACTCGAGGTATAGCCTATAGCCCACGAACAACCGGGTTCGTCCACTCATGGGGACCAGTCTACAACTTCTAGGTCCCCCAGTAGTGCCCTTTGACCCTTTTTCGGGGAAGGGTTCCCTACTAAAATAGACTACCGGAAAAGACAAAAAAACTGGTACCCTTATTCTAACCTCTCTACTGGAGGACCTAGACTTAGTAACTTGGCGACTCGAACACCCAACTAGCCGTAACTAGCCTCTCATCCATTTGCTTAAGACCATTTTTTAATTTCCCTTGCTGGTTTTTAAGGGAATCTATCACTACTGGAATACGTGTTTTTATTTTTTCCAGGGGGCGAAGAAGCAAATGGAAGCTCTGGTGCGGTGTCTCGTCTCAGGTTGGCCACTCTGAAGAAGCACATCTTGCCCCGCTTCTGTGCTCCATCCGTCGTGCCCACGTTCCACGACCTGCTGGTGCTATGGGGCCTCTGCCCCCCCGAGCAGCCGGGGACCCAGCAAAACGTCCGAAGGGTCTGACAAAGAGTTTCTTTTCCTTGGTGGCTCCCAGCCATTTCCCTTCGCTTTTTTGCTTTCTGGTGTTCAGTGGGGATTTCCTTTCAACTCACTAAGGTTAAAACTTTGAGTGGGGGATCTGAGGACAGCCCAGTTTCGCTTGCACCAAAGGGCGCTGATGTGTGTGTGTAGAACCACTTGTTTGACGACGTTTCGCATCACTCAATCTTGGTTGCATGCCTTTTCCCTTGCAACAGGGCAGGTTCCTCCAGAAAATGGAAGCTGACAGCAAATCCCAGCAAAATGCTCTCCCAAGAGCCTTCAGCTGGTTCGCTCTTTGGGTTCCTCTCGCGGGATATGGAGGACGCAATCAATTGTTTGCAACATGGACTCCCCAAAATCAGTGGTTTGCCTCAACAGCTTCCCTGAAATTGGCAGACCAACATCTTAAGCTCCTAAACTTTACGACACGCCCACGTCTTTCCTTTCTGATGTGTGCCAAAATGGCCTGACTCATCTTGACACATATGAGCCACAGGCAAATGTTGAAAAGTTATCCACCATGTAGTTGATATGGGACAACTGGCAAGTCAACTTTGTCAACCGAGACCAAGACCGAAATCAAACCAAAAAAAACAGGCAAACACCAAGAAAAACCGACACCGAGACAAAACGGCATACCAAGCGGCCAAACTCCCCTACTGGCAGCAAGGGGGGAAGGGGGAAGGGGGTCCCCCAAGTTTGCTGCTTCTGCTGCGAGCTCGGAGCCGCACCCGAGTTCCCCTTTGTTGGGGGGTTAAAGACACCGTGTTTGGGGTTTGGTTGAAAGGAACCTGGGAGAAACCCACATGTTCCGTGTTGGAGTGCCGGATCCCGATTTGGACGAACTGTCCGGCTTTGGCCAATCTAAGTGGGACATGAAAGGGAACCCAACCGTCTGCGGGTGGCTTCGGTCATTGGATGCCAGCCCACGTCGGTGGGCTTTTTGCCTTCTTTTTCGTGGATCCCCCCCAAAATGTTGATGTCGGGTTGGTTTCCAATCGGTTACCTGAAATCTCAGACCAAACAAGGGGCGTACCAACAGAAAAGGCGAGTGAGCCAAGAGAGCCATGTGGGTTTCGCCGGCGGCTGGCCGACGATTTCGCCAGACTCGCACCCCAAATTCGACAAGGAAGCCGGTCCGGAAAGGGCGCACGGTGCGCCGGGTGCGGCGCCGCATGCCCTCCCGGCCGCGCCTTGGCCGCGCTTGGTGTCGATTGAGCGGAGACGGAGTGGCTTCGACCGAAGTCGCAGCGGAGGCCGGTGCCGTTTCTCAGGGACCAAAAATGAAAATATTGATCAACGGTTATTTCCTTGATGGCTCCCGAAGGCCATCCGGTTCCTTAGCTTTTGAGCTTTTGAGTGTTTAGTGGTTGGATTTCCATTTAACCCACTAAAAGTTAAACTGTTAGCGGGGAATCTGAGGACAGCCCAGTTTCGGAAAGGGTTTTTTTTTTTTTTTCTGGTTTGGTGGGGCTGCACTTAGTGTAGGAGGGGAGCACCGTCCAAGATTCGTTAACCAGGGGTTGATGAATCCGGGATCAGCATGAATTACAAGCCAAATTGCGGGTTCCCACTTTTGAGAAAGCCCCAACAAATGCATCAGAAAGGTTTGCGAGGAACAGCCGAACCCTCCGCCCGAGTGTTCACCATGTTTCGCATGGGACAGATCGGCTGAAAGCTAGTCATGGCTGGTAAATGTGAGCCACGTCCTCAAAACCCGGGTAGAAGGTTAAGGGATAGATTACCCTCCGAAAGCGCACAGGAATCCTTGCTCGACTAGAAGATTTGGGTGGGGATGGGGTGATTCTTCTGCTCTTCGGGGCCCAAACAGTGACAAGGGAGGGCCACGGCAGCCAGTGATTCTGTTTAATGTGACTGTCTGTGGTCTTCTTTAATGTCAACATTTTTTTCGGTGAGAGTAAGTACTGGCCATACTGAATTTAAGCTAGGCAATACAAAACTAAGTGCTGAGATGTAGTCCTGGCAATACTGAATTTAAGCGAGGCAATGCTAAACTAGGTAACTAAGTACTGGCAATCCAGCAGCAAGTGCAGGCAATACTAAACTAATTGCAATACTGGTAAAGCAATCCTCCAAACACACTGTCAGACCTGTATAGAGGACCCCGAGCACTGTTTTGACTGTTCTGAGGCCCCATTAAACAAGATCGACAAAAGATAGTCATCCCCTATCAAGGTGAATTACCTTGTTTGGAAGTTTGGGGGTGTTTGAAACTCACTCCCCGAGTTCCTTGATCTGCAACTTGAAACAACAAAACTGTTAGTTTGTGTTGGCCGATCCACTTAGGAAGCGAGTTTCTTCCGGGTGTTCCCTTGAGTCACCATTTCGCTGGGGTAAAAACGATGTCACTGAAGCATTTTGTTTCGCGCTCAGCTCATTCCGTCGCCAACCACCAGATCTCAGCTTTAGAAACTTCAATTTGTTTGTTTTTTCTCCTTGTTGGGTTCAAAGGGAATCGATTTCACTGCTGGATTTTCATTTGTACATTTTCAGGGGCCGTACTGTATCCGCAAATGGAAGGAAAAGACTGCTTTGCCCGTCGCTTGGTTTTCGACTTTGGTTTCCCACAACATGTGTTTTGCAATCCACGCAGGTGAGTAAACTTGGCACCCTAACATTTTTTGTTAAAACAAAAAACAAAACAATCTTTTTAGTGCTCAGTGGTAGTTTCCATGCAACTCACCAAACATCATTCACTTTTCGCCGGGTCCCGATCGAAGGGCAGCCCCAAAGCAGCAGTTTCCGCCTTGGCGCGCCCGCGCGTCTCAGCTCCTTTCGCTCGGCTCGAGCCGGCGGTTCTCGCCGAGGGCCTCGGACCTGGCCTCGGTGGTGCAGAGTCAGCGCGCGGTGCAGCGGGTGGCCAACATCTGGCGGGAGCACACCAGGCCCATCCGAGGGGAAAAAGCCGGCGGTCCTTGGTCGATGTATTTTCGGTCGCCGCTTTATGGAGTTTCTATCGGGGGGCGGAAAGAATGCCATCCACTTCCACTGGTCTAATTCATTTCTATGATTGGGAAGTTATATGACAGGAGATCCAGAGGAAGAAGATAGGAAGGGGGGGGATTAGGAAAACGGTTTAGATTTACCTTTTTGGTGGATTCCACCTCATCTTTCTTTCTCAGTTGGTCCTTGTTTAGTCATCTTTTGGTACTCTTTTAATCTATATACAGGGGTGGATCCACAAAAGCCACATCCAAACCGTTTTCTGGAGGAGTGGTCCAAACAAGAAAGATCCCAAAGGACATTTCGGGAAGTAGGCGCCACTTCCATTTGCTGAAATGAACATGTTTGTATTTTTTAGAAGGCATCCTACTGGACATATTTTTATTGTTGCCAGGGACTTAAGCAAATGGAGGCCCAAACAACGGGGTGGTCCAAGGGGGAGGGGGAAGCTTAATGAAATTTAGGGAACCCTAGGGGTCTCAGCTACCCACCCCTTGTACTTACCGCCCCCCCCCCCCGCCCCGAGAGGCAGAAACAAATCCCTCTATCTCACTGAGTGCTCCTCCCGCTCTTTAATTATCGATTCGCCAAGTTACTCAGTTGGTATGGGTTATAATCCTACGGTTATTCAGGGCCTTCAGCCTGAATACCCCCCCCCAAATCAAATAGCGACGAAGAAGGCCTGTTCCTCTTGGGTTTGAAAGGGCGGCTCCCTTGGTTACCCTCCCGCCAGTTAACATGGAACCTGACGTTTCGGGGTCCTGGAAGTTCATGTTCCTTTTAAAGGGACCGGGTCCCGAACGTCAAGTTCCATGTTAATTGGTGGGTGCTTACTATGTGGCTGTGGGTCAGAACGCTGTGGTGGACATCAAAATAGGTGGTGCATGGGTGTTCACCCGCCCCAAATGGAGGCATAGGTTCTGACTCATGGCCATATGGGTAAATGGAATCACTGGGCCACTCGTTTCTTAGAGACACCTTCCATGGCCATCGCGAGAGACCGGGGCTGAGAAATCAACCCGCGCCAGGCGACCGTCCGCCAGTTGATCGAGGCATGGCACCGGGAGGACGGTGCGCATGATGACGTCCACTGGCTTCAGCCGCGGCTGTTGGGTAACATCCATTTGCTTAAGAACGTTTTTATGTTCCCTTGCTGGTTTTAAAAGGAATCTATCACTACTGGAAACTTGTTTTTGTTTTTTTTCCAGGGGGCTTAAGCAAACGGAAGTTAACGTGTTGGATTCCCCTGATATGTCCTTTAAACCAGCAAAAGTTAAACTTTTTGCTGGGACCTACAGCACCCAAGCAGCTGTATCATTTTCAGGTGCTGTCCTGTGTGGTTGGAAGGGAGCCAGGCTTCCAATTTTGCTTTTGAAGAGGGAGCTAAGGAGCTACCAGGAGTTGGGTAAGGACATGGTGGCATCTGGTTTTCAGCAAAAACACCTTTCCCCCGCCCCCCATCAGCATACCGCGGGAGACTGACACTTGCCGGGGATGATGGGGCATTTGAACATCTGCCAGCGTTGGCCGGCAGAAGGGACCTTGCTTCACATTCTAGGGGCTGTGTCGCAAAAATGCGGGGGACCTCCTAACACCTTTGTTCAGTGGTGGAAATAGACTAGGTCCCCCAGTAGTGCCCTTTACTTTTTGTTTGGGGGAGGGCTCCCCTGCTAAAATAGACTACAGAAAAAAATCGGGTACCCTTGTTCTAACCTCTCTACTCCAGAACCTAGTAGATGAAACCCCCAGTGGTTGAGCGTGCCCCAACTCTTTAGACAGCTTAACGGATGCGAGCGTACACTTGGCGCAGGCGCTCTTCGTCCTCGCGCTTCGGCCGGGATATTCCGGAGATGAGGCTGCGAAAAATGCCCGGAGTACCTTCCTGTCCACGTTGCCATAGAGGGTCCCTTTAAAGGAAAATGGTCTCAGTCAGGTTCTATGTTAGTGGACGGAAGCGTATTGGGTCCGTTAACGAACTTCACTCCCTTGCAAAGCAAAGAGGCAGATTGAGAGCAAGCAATATGTTGCCAGTGATCAAAAGCGAGCGGCCAAGGCACAGCTTTTGCGGCATGGTTGCACATATGCTTTGACCCCGAAAGCTTGCATGTCTTGGAGTGCCCAAAGAGGATCTAATGTAAAAGGACCAAGCGGTTACCACTGCTTGGAGCTACGACTTTCGGGTCTTTTGCTCGTCCGGCTTCCGGCGAACGGATTTCGGCTTTCGCACGCAGCCGCAGAACAGCTTAGTCGAGAATATGAGAGCTTACTCCTAGTGCTTCCAGCTGTCAAATGCCACAAGGAAAATCAGGGCAAACCATGACAATGACGCAAAATCTAGAGGTAACCTGGTTGCCTGGTGGTAGCTGGAAGCCACTGGGACGCAGGCACGCGGAACCAGTAGGGAAGCAGGAAGCATGATCAATTCCCCCCCCACCCCCACGTGTCTATGGCATCCAAGTTTTGGGCAGATCCCAGAACTTGTGCTATGGTCAAACCACCCTTCTTGGGGCTGAGGTCATTAATAACCTTCTTTTTTTTGGTGGCTGCCCCACTAAAAACGGTCCAAGCTCCAAACAGGGTTCCCTTTTTTTTCCAGGGTGAATGAACAACTGAGTAACATATCGAGGGAACATGACATCCGACTGTTGACACGACCTGGTGAGGGTTTCCTGGCTGAGCTGGTCTTTTGCGGCTTGTGCTGCCTCCCCTGGCCAATGTTCAGCGACATATTTCGTCTGTTTCGATATTCTTCCATTTGCTTAGGAGCCGGTTTGCTTTTTCAGGGAATCGATTTCACGACTGGGCATGATAATAAAAAAAGAAGAAGAAACAAAAAGAAAACGCAGGGGACGAAGAAGCAAATGGTTTTATTTTAGGATCTTTGGATCCGGACGCTAGCACGTGCAAGGCTGGGATTTTTGTTGATTTCTGATGGCTCCACCGTGTTTGTTTGTTCTTTGCCATCGGGAGCACCGGGAGCATCACGCTTGTCTTAGCGTGAACTCAAAACCTTTTGCAAGAAGCGCAGGTTGGCTTTTGAGATGTAAGCCGTGGTATCCCCATTCACTAACCTATCCATTTGTGTAGGTCACCCAAGCAGTTTCCCACTCAACAGATCAACCCGGCCAAACAGACGACCCGAGAAAATCGGTGGCGTGGGCTCGGGTCATCCATCGCCTATGGCGAATGTCTCCTCTACGTCCCCACTCTTCCAAGAGGTGAACCTCACTGCCACAGGCGCCCGGGCCGTTCCGTTCGGTCAACATTTGTATGCTGGCTTTCGTGTGCTTGCACTCCGATTTTGTGTTTTTCCACATGTTTTTTGTTTTTGTTCCGAAGACTTGTTTAGCAGTCTGTTTGTTTGCTTGCTTCGCCGCTCGTTGGTTTGCTGGCGCGCTTGCCTGTTTGACATGAGTATGCTTTGCTTTGCGTTCCTTTGTTTGTTTGTTGGCTGGTTGGTTGTTTGGTTGGTTTGCTCGCTCGATTTGTCCTTTGGTTTGCCCTTTGCCTCCCCTTTGATGTTTGATTCGCGCCCCTCTTCCCTTCGTTTCCCCCGCCAGCCCTGACCAATGCCGCAGAGCAGCTGGTGCCCCGGCTGAAAGCTTTCGAAAGCCAATGCGAGAAGAGCCGAGTGAAGTCGACGCGGGGAGAGCCGGGTGGGATCTTCTTCCATTTGATTTTTGTTCAAGTGCTTCCAGTTGCCATGATAGTAAGTAACTAGCTGGTGGTTGGAAGGAAGCCGGACTCGGAGCTAGCGGGTATCCAACTTTGTTTTTAAAAATGGAGCCTTGCGGAGCTATCGGAGTTTTGGCTAGCATGGTAGATGATCTCACGTTCTTTTCCCACAAGCGAATCGAACTTTTGGTCTTTGGTTGTCAAAGTTTGGTCCACTTGTAGTAAAGCTCCCAAAAGGCCACCCCAAAGGATTATTGGGTCCAAAAAGGGCAACAGAAATGCAGGATGGTTTCATCAAAGCCAGTGGCTTTTTTCTCCGAGGCAATGTTTGGTTGGTTGGATTCTGAGAGGTTGCAACTGCTTTCCCTTTTCGGTTTAATCAGGGGGCCGCTAGTAAGCTTGACTGCTATTGAGTTGGATCTTTAGCCTTGAACTTTTTGGGAAATAAAGGTGTTTTCCACTGAACCCCCAAAAAGTTAAACTTTTTGCAGGGGAGTGAACAACAACCAAGTAAGCAACCAAGAGCCCAGATGCTTGTGAATCCAGTTTGTTTTTTGCAATCGAGGGAGTTGCTGGCAAGAAATGGCGGTGGAATCCCAAACTTTAGGGTCTGGATCCTCACCATTGAGCCTTCCGAACCCATGCCTTTTCAGCTGTTTTCGCGTTTGGATCCAGGCTGTTTTATGTCACGTCCCACGAACACGCTGACTACTGTGGATGGCTGCGAAATCCAGAAATCGCCCCGCCGTTCAGAAACCCTGGAAATGATTACGCGACACATGTCGTGGTTTGAACCATAGTTTCACAGTGGTTCGATTTCTGGATTTCGCAACCATCCACAGTATTTCAGCCCATGGGCCAAGGGCTTTGCCTAGGCTGAGTGCCTTCAGGATTGCTCCTACGGACGCTTTTTCCCGGAAGCAAGTTGACAATGTGAGAAGAAAACCACCCCCGGATAAGGCATTGTGTGCTATGTGTTGCCGTAGTTATCAGGAGCAGCAGGTTTCAGGAAGATGTTTGTTTCGAAGGTTGTAAGCTTGCTGCAATGCGTAGCAATCCTGGGGGGTGCCGGCGGAAGCAGCTCGAGCCAAGTTGCTGCCCATGAAAGATGCCGGGCTGCCCAAAAACAAAAGGCAGCCCACGTAAAGTTTCGGCTGGGGGGCTATTTTCACCGGTAGTTATTTACTTGGATCCCTTATTTCAGGAGCCGGAATTATGGCAGCCACTTTAACACGGAACCATTTCCCGGAATGGTGGACTTCATTTTCACTTCCCTTCAAACCAACCCTTAAAAGGATACCCGATCAAGTGAGCGTTCCCAAGACACAATTGGCCAGTTTGGCACGCGTAGGTTCTACTGCCTGCTTGAATAAGGAGGCCGAAATGAATTATCAAAACCATGTTGGAACCAAACTTGCCGGTGTAGGGAATGACCGAGTCCGGGTGTTGGGCATGAACCAGAAACGGGGATTCCTTAAAGAAAGCCGAATCGGGAACGGATGTTTTTTCTTGGTCATTCTCTAACAAGTCCATGGGTTCTGGACGCTGTTTTCCCACGTTTTTCTCTAAGAAAACGGTTTGGATGTGGCTTTTGTGGTTCCACCCCTGTAGAAGGCTAAAAGAGTACTAAAAGATTACTAAAAAAGGACCAACAGGGGGAAGAACAGGTGAAAAGGCGCATCCAAAACGTTTCTAGATTTTCTTTGAAAGGGAATTCTCCGTTTCTCCCGGCAGCGAAGAAGCAACTGGAGGTTATAGGAAGTACCCGGAGCGAAGCCATGGTAAAAGTCGGAGGTACCATGTCCTGGTTGCCTGCTATGATTCCATTTGCCTAAGAATATGTTTTGTATTTTCCCTGGTCGGTTATAAAAGAAACTTATCGCTACTGGACATATTCTTATTTTTCCCAGGGGTCTGAAGCAAATGGAACCAAGAAGTTCACTGCTTCAGCCCCTTTTCAGTGCTCAAGCAAATGGAACCAAGAAGGTTCACTGCTTCAGCCCCTTTTCAGTGCTCAAGCAAATGGAACCAAGAAGTTCACTGCTTCAGCCCCTTTTCAGTGCTCAAGCAAATGGAACCAAGAAGTTCACTGCTTCAGCGCCTTTTCAGTGCTCAAGCAAATGGAACCAAGAAGTTCACTGCTTTAGCCCCTTTTCAGTGCTCAAGCAAATGGAACCAAGAAGTTCACTGCTTAAGCCCCTTAGTGCTCAAGCAAATGGAACCAAGAAGTTCACTGCTTCAGCCCCTTTTCAGTGCTCAAGCAATTGGAGCCAAGAAGTTCACTGCTTCAGCCCCTTTTCAGTGCTCAAGCAAATGGAACCAAGAAGTTCACTGCTTCAGCCCCTTTTCAGTGCTCAAGCAAATGGAACCAAGAAGTTCACTGCTTCAGCCCCTTTTCAGTGCTCAAGTCCAGATCTTCGCTGATTGAATCGGTCTGGCGCTGATAATTGTTTTTGAGGTCTTTGGCTTCGCTGGGTGCATCATGGTGGTGGTGGTCGTGGGCAGCATCATCCATCGCTTCTCGTTTGCTGGGCTTTTGGAAATGGGCGAAGCGGAGAGGCGGGGAGGCGGAGGCGAGCGGGACGCCAGTCTCAGCTGTCCAGTGCTACCTATTATTTGGTTTTCCTTTTTTTTGGGTGGCTGCCCCACTAAACATGGTCCAAGCCCCAAAAAGGGTTCCAATTCTTTTTTTCCAGGGTCACTGAACAACTGAGCACTGGTTCACCGAGGTCCCCCGGCTAGGTGCCCTTCTCACCCCTTTTTGAGGGGAACTCTTCCCCTATATAAATAAAATAGACTACAGAAAAAGCTGGTAATTACCCTTATTCTAACCTCTCTACTCAAGAACCAGTCACTGTTTGGCTTTTTCTTTTTTTCTTTTTGGTTCTGTTCCATTTTAGCAGGCTGCAAAGAACAAAGCTGTTTGCAACCATACCATGAGTTGTGAAGAATTGTTGGTTGTAGTTTAAGCAGATGCCAGAGAGAAACGACCCGTTTTGGTGGTTCCCCTTCGAGACATACCCAGTTGTTCAGGAAACCACACTTTCGGGAGATCCCTATGTCCCCTTGGTGCTTTCAAACATCGCCCTTTTGGCCCATCAGTTGCCCTAGGGGTGATTTTTTCTTAGCAAGTTTCAGGTTGACACGTTCTTTTTCCAAGGATAGCCAAAAGGGATATTTTTTTTCGCAACCTCAGATCTTTCGGCTTGCCTTGGTATAATATGGCTTCTGTGATACTAAACCATCCCCTTCAATGGAATCCGTCCCCTTTCAATTTCAGCAGCCCTCCTTAGCCCAGTAAAGCGAAATCCCAGCACTAGCTCTCTAACTACTGGCGGTGTTGAAACTCTTGAGCAAGAGGGAGACCCTGAACACATGGTATATCTCCCTCTTGTGTTCTTTAGTATCACAAGAAAAGCAAGTTGAGACCCTGAACACATCCTCCTCCAAACCCCAACCCCGGCGAAGCGGTGTTTTCCCGGCAAGATGTGAAGGCTCGTCAAAAGGGCCTTTGTTTGGTATCACCTTGCAAAAAGTCCGGCAGGCACCAGGCGCGCCAGGTCCCCCCCCAAAAAAAAAACACGATTCTTGAGAAGACATCACGTGCTTGGGTGTTCTCCTCGCTTGGCCAAGGCCGACCTTTCGATCATTTTGGGTTTTCCAATCTTGGTGCATTTTGAGTCATGGCTCTCTGCTTTTTTGGGGGATTTGGTTTAAGTGGTCAAAAGGGACGGATGGCCCCAAAAGGTGATCACCTTTTATGTCCAGGGCCGAAATGGGCAGCTGAGTCTCCGTCCCCCCCCCCCCCCCCGATTTTGCTTTTTGTTTTCCCTTCGGTGGGTTAAACACCGGTTTGGTTTGAGTGGTCGAAAGGGACGTGGACGAAAAGGTAAAGACCCGCTGGGACGCAGCTCAGGTCTGAAGCTGGACTTCCTGCCGGAGAGCTTGGTCTGTGTGAGCGCCGGCGCTTTGTTGGGATACGCGCCTCAGCTCAGATCAGATCTCCAAGAGCCTCCCAGCAAGTAACGTGAACGTGGGCAGCCGTTTTTTTTTGGGGGGGAAGCAAAGGGTTTATACAAAACACTTCCATGGGTCTGTGCAAAAACCTCCGTTTCCAAGAGGAAAGTCGTCACATGGGTCTTGTTGCCACTATCAAAGTCAAGCCGTTCAGTGGAAGGTTAGAGGGAACCGCGCCTACTTTCTGACTTTGATAACGCCCCCCAAAACAAGCAACATAATGATCCAAGAACTCCAAGAAAGAAGCTGTCTTTCTACACACTTCTGTGCACAGTCCATTTCAGGAATTGCAAAAGTGTCATTTGATTTGTAGTTTGGACTGCTAAGGTGTGCTGCATCTGCAGCGCCTCTTGCTAACTCAAGCATTTGAGGCCGTTTCACTTGATTGGTAGTGGGATTTGAAGTTCTGGTGCTTGTAAAGGGTAAAGGGGAAAGCCTGCCCCCTAACCTCCAAACCAATCCAAGCCACCAATTGGAGGGAAGCTTTTTAGCCCGGGAAAACCCGCTCTCGCTGTCGCGATCCATTGGGGTGTTTTTTGCGGGTACCCCGCCTTCCAACCGATTACAGCAAGCGGCCAAAAGGCGCCTTCAACTCACTTCCTGAGTTCATGAACTTTAAGCTTTTTGGGAAGACCATTTGAGTGGCAAATATAAAGTTTGGACTTTTTCTGGGCCATCCACTCAGCCAGTGAGTCAACACATGAATCAAAATTACTTTGGACCCCATTTGAGTCAAGGAAGAAGGTGATCACCTTGTTTGTTTCCCGGTCCTTTGGGTAAGCGAGTTGTTCCCTGTCCAGGGCCCGTCTAAATCGAACATGGCAGGTTCGCCGCGGTGTAAAGGAATGTCAACCCCTAGAGCCTACCCCCTACACCCAATACCAGTTTTTGTTGTAGTGGGGGGGGGGTATCATGTCAAGCCTTCACTAAAAATGGATTTGCTTACCATGGATAAAACCAGGTTTTCAAACACAAACCCTTCAAACAGTTTGTGTATATGGAGTAGCGGAAAAAATGTAATCTTGTCCCAGTTGGAATCCCACTTCCATGAACAAATTCGTCTTTGTATCACAGAAGTGGTCATTCCCAACCCGGAATAAAGACGATCGCAGCCGTTTCCATCAAATTCTGAGAATAGGAGGGACTCAACAAATGGGTGCTTCCTTTTTTGAGGAGCGCTTTTTGGCGGCGGTTTTCAAGAGAAAGAACAGGGAAACCACTGGCTTTGGGGGTCCCCTGCTTGTGAGACAAGTCACATTTCAACATTTGCCTTAGATGTGCAACAGGCGTTTTGAGGCACATACATGGGCAACACATGGATTTTGCCTCACTTGTTTACTTAGTTGTTCATTGATTGATTTGTTTGCTTGTGTATTCGCTGGTGTGTTTGATGAATTGTTTAGTGACTCACTCCGTTTTGCGCCCCTTCGGTTCGTTCGATCGGCGGTTCCCAAACCTTTTAGCGGCTCACTCCGTGGTTGAGGCGCTGTACTACTCGGACTGGGGCGGCCAAAGACATGAGCTGGACGTGAATTTCCAGTATGCGCTCTTCAGCTCCTCTGACGCGGCGATGTGTTTTTCGTTTTTGATTTACTTTTGTTTTCTCTTCTTCAGACCGGTCCATGCGACTCTGTCACCCGAGGTCTGCTTCTGAAGCTCTTCTGCCTGCCACTCGGCCCTCGGCGAAGCTCGATGGTCAAAAGACCGCTGGCCTGCGTTGGAGAAACGGACCTTCAACTTTTCGGGGAAATTGGCCTGTTCTTTTTAGTCGGAAACCCTTTTGCTTGGTTATAAGAGGCAATCCTGTTCAGGGGTCCACCAAACAAAGACACACCCGAATGTGGATTCGCCGCACCAATTTTGAAAACAGCGAACTGTTTGCAGGTCTCAAAGGCTGGATCTTTGACCTTGAATGCTTTGTAGGAGATGTGTTGTTTCCTCACAAATACCCAAAAACAAACAAGCTGTTTGCAGACCGTCAAAAGACAGGTTCCTGTACTGAGGGTTGGCATGGATGGTCATGGACCCTTAATAGGGATGTTAGACCATTGCAAATGTTGCTCTAAGGGAACCATGATGACGCAATGATGCGCAGAAGTCTTGACTGTGGCGCACAGGGAGGTGTATCAAAATGGTGAACCCCTTTGGGGACGTGTGTTCAAATCGATACCCAAATGGTCACCAAACTGTTTCTTAGGTTCAGAGGCGATTGCATAGTCTCGCATAAGTTCAGGATCTGACGAATTGCTTACCAGTAGTATCACTATTTTCAGCTAGTCTACTTTTGTTCATTTTGCCAAGCATCTTGTCTTCGTCCTCATCACTGGATAAATCATTTCTGTGTCTCTCTTCTTCCTTTCTTTTCTTCTCAGCTTGCCTTTTCACCTTCTCCACATGGTCCATGGTATTACTTGTCATATTCGGAATTTGCTGGAACACCAAGAAGGGCAGCCAACCAAGTTAGAGGACCACTTTGAAAAAGCACCCGAGTTTTGAATACCTAGTGGTTTGGATTGGATGTTTTTTGGGGATTTGAAATCCTGGTTTTTGTAGCTGGATGGGAAACCACTTCATCTCTAAAACACCGAGCTCCAAACCACCTTTGTAAAAAAAAAAAAACGATTCCCACATAACACGACTTCGCCTCTCACAGCTCCAAACCACCTTCGGAAGAAAAAGTCCCACGGGCTTGAGGTTTTCTCAGCAAGGCCCACCATCATCTTCGAGTCTGGCTGGTCCTTGCGGCAGCGAGACTTCTTCTCCCAGCCCGGAGTCCTGGGCTTTTGTTGTTTCTCTATACTTGGGGATATTAGACCCCAAAAAGTGTCCTCTTTTATTTTTGTTTTGTTTTGTTCCCCATACTTGGGGATATTAGACCCCAAGTGGTTTTGGACTATTATGGTAAACCATCCTTACTGCAGCTACACTTTCTGGCTATTTGGGAACGGATCTTTGGACTTCAAACTTTGTTCATTTTTCATTGGACCCACGAAAAGTTAAAACTAACAAATGCGCTTGAACTTTTTTTTGGCCGCTCGGTGGATTTTTTGTCACCGGACCCACCAGAAGTTTTAAACAACCATGCGGAGGGGTCGACATCAACCAAGTTTCGGGGAATCCCCAAGTGGGGGTCCACAAAAAGCTTTAGAACAACAATGCAGAGGGGTCAACGGCATCCCTATGTTTTAGTTGGCCTCCAAGTTTGCGTAGGGGTGGTCCAAGAAAAGCGGCCCCTAAAGGCTCCCGAAGGAACCCAAAGGCACCGGGGAAAAAAAAAACGCGCGCCTTAGGTACCTACTGGTAAGGGATTCCATCTTTGGATGTTCATCTGGCCATATTGTGGTTTTGTTCACTTGGTGTTTCCTCCTATTGTGGTTTTGTAGCCCACAAACTGGACACTTTTAGCAGGAGATCCGACAACAGCCCAGTTTTAGCAGCTGGAAAAGTGGTGGATCTTGTCAGAGCCACGTAAGGCATCCCTGAGGGAGCCAAGCCTTGCAAGACGAAATATTTGCGCCATGGTCGAAAGACCGGCTCCTTTTCTTGGGGTGAACAGGGACGGTCCAGTCATCCACATGATTCTAGGGGTACCTTTCCCATTCTTTCCAGGGATCCTTCTTTTCAGGAAACCATCAAAAACCCAGCGAAACAGCCCTTTTTTTTAAGACCCAATCGGCAAAAACACATAGAGCTCCTTGCTTGCGACGGGACTGGTCGGCCCAAAGGAAAGCCTACCCCAAGCACGCCGAAAATGGACTGGGAAAACAAGAGGGTCTTCCCTCTGGTGGCTGGTCGAAAAAGCCAACTCTGGCCCAAACATCCGGCAAAAACCAGTGCCCCACTTGACGCAGAGGGCATAGGGAGGCTCCGCATTCATCAAGGTGGGCCCTTTTCCCGGTGGGCACAGAAGGTATAGCCAGGGTTCCTCATGATTTCCAGCCAGCCGGTGGGCACATGTCTTCGCCAGGATCATGTACATCTTGCTGATCGCAATCCTGGGCACCAGCATCTCGGTGGTGGTGGTGGCCTATGTTCTGCACGGCTCAGCGGAGTATCACGGCGTCAAGGCTTGCTTGGGCCCTTCACAGATCCGCGCGAAACCGGGTGTCCATCGCTTTTTTGTCAGTCTGCGCAGTACTTCTGACGTACTTGGGCGCCGAAATGTTTGCCAGGCGGGTAGTTCCTTTCGGGAGAACCTTTCCGGAAGCCGGAAGAGAAACCCAGTGTTGGAAACACCCATCTTGGAATCAAGCACAAAGACCACATAAGGTCAGAGTCATATTGATACTAGGTCCCCCAGCTAGGTGCCCTGCTCTTTGACTTTTTTTTGGTTGGGAGGGTTCCCCTACCAAAATAGACAAAATAGCAAAAACAGTTGGTACCAACTTCTTCTAGCCTCTCTACTGGATAGAAAACAACAACTTTGCAAGCCGTGAGAGTCCGCAAGAATCCGGGCCAAAAACCGGCTTGATTGGGCTTTCAGGCGCGTGATGTGGGGTGGGCGAGTTCTGAGAATGGAGCACCTAGGCTCGGTCCTCCTGGACTGCGATACGTTTCTTGGGAAGACGAAGTTTTGGTGGTAAATGCCCGTGGGTCAACACGAATGGGATCCCATTTTGGTTGGTGGGTGTATTCACCACCCATTTGAGAACCTATTTTAGTGGGAACTGGGATGTTTACTGGGGTACGGGGTTTTGACCCTTAGCCAAATAGCAAGGTTGGACTTTTTGACAGTCACAATCAGAATCTGGGAATTGGAGGGCAAGGGGCCATAAATGGGTGCGGATGTCCGCCTTTTTAATTCTTTACACGCTTCTGGGTAGACCATTTCAGTACCCATCGGTTTTGATTTTGACTCACACTGTGTTTGATAGACCCTTCATCAGGTTTTTATCATGACTCACTGCGGGTGGTGGCAGATAAAGGCTTGTTCTCATGGTTGGAAAATGGGGCCGTTATGTCTAGCACTCCTTTCTGTAAGTTGGTTCCTTTTAAGCAATTCCAAAAGTCTTCCGATTTCCCACCGCCCGCTGAACATGGACAAAACGTAAGGGGCTAAACCATGTCCAATAGTTTACTCCTATCATAACTTGGGTTTCAAGTACCCCCCCACCCCCACAACCCATGATACTGATTTGGGTGTGTCTTTTTTGAGGATAACCCACCCACCCTTTGTGTGGTTTCAAAGGATTTTGAGCGTCGCTTGCCGAAAGACGCCCGCAAATCAACCAAGCGCTGCTCAGCTTTTTTGCATGGAGATCCGCGACAAAGGCTGGGACATGTGGGGTTCCTCCAAGGACGACACACCTCCGGCCATCTCCTTCATCCCACCTTTGGAGACCAAATTCCTTTTTTGCTACATCTGAGACGTTTAGACTTTTGGGTGGGATTGACACTCTAGGGTACCCCCATTCTTTCCAGGGATCCGAATCTTTTCAGGAGACCATCAAAACCCAGGGGACACAGAACCGTTTTTTGTTTAAAGAACGATGGTTGAAAATTTGAAAAGAATGGAAAAGGGATCAACCCCTAAACAAACACGTCCTACGCCGTTTCGGGCGCGCGTTTTGCTGGCGCGCGCGTATTTCGGGCGCGGCAGTCCTGGCGGACGTGCTTGGCCTACGCGTCGCTGATCAGCTCCACGGACCCGGTGGCCACACTGGCGACCTTCGGGGCCATGAGCCATGGCCGGACTTCGCGTCACGTCGGTCTGCAGTGGGGGTGTTTCTATCACAGGGCTCCTTAAAAGATACATCCATTTTGCCCATCCATTTGAAACATGGCTTGTTCAACACCAAAATAAAGTTGGAAACTACCTTTTACAAGTTGCAATGTTCAGGTGTATAATGTAAGGATCCCTGTAACAACATGTGTTTAACAAAATGTTTTGTTTTTTTTAGACCCCAGTTATTAAATGTTCAAGTGTTTAAACAGTTTTTTTTGGCCCAAGGGCCCAAATGTTGGGGGGTCCCTCATTTTGTTTTCCTTCACTTGCTGTTCTTCACTTGTTGCCCTCACTTACTGCCCTTTACTTGCTCTTCACTTGTTGCCTTTCACTTGTTGCCCGTCACTTGCTGCTGGGGAACCCCCCCTACGAATAAAGTGGGGTTGATTGAGTTTGATTAGTATGGGGTCAATATCATCAGTTTGACAAGTTTCATATTTTTACGGAAACCACCTCACTTTGCCCCTGCTCATTTCACCAGGGCACCAGGAGAACCTTCGCTTATGTCGCCCGCTTGATTCGGGAAAAAAAATTGACCTAGTTCCATGTTGCTGTTGGCTTGCAGAGCTGAGATACGTTAAAAAATACTTGGGGAGTTTCCTTCAATTTCCTTGGAATCAGCCAATTTGTTGCTTAGGGCTCCTTAAAAGATCTCCATTTTGCAACCATTTCAAACATGGCTTTTTCAACACCAAAATAGAGTTGGAAAGCACCATTTAAAAGTTGCAATGTTCAGGTGTAAAATGTAAGGATCCCTGTTGCTCTTGATCTGCCATGAATTGCTCTCAAAGGCCCTTTTGGGTCTTCATTTTCGCTTCGAACCACCCTTCCCCGCAACCTCTGCCGCGTGTGAACCTTGGTGTCCTTTTGGGCTTCCAAACTTCAGTGGCAAGAAGCCGTCGCTTTTCGGGGTGTCGGATTCTGGCCCAGGAACGTAGACCCCTTGCTCTTCATCCTGGCGCCTTGCGTTTTGGGGGTTTGCGGGATGGGGAACGCGCGAAGGGTACAGGAGCTTGACACGGACGGGTGACACATTGACAAAGCCCAGTGATTCCATTTCCTTCAAAGGAAACAGTTGAACACCCAAGCCAGACAAGGGGCTTTGCTTGGTTGTGGGGTTGGGGTTGGCGTGCGGATCACGCACGCACTCAGCAGGCGAAGAAAGATTGATGTACTTGCTCCTTTGTACCATGGTCAAAAGATATCTCCACTCCTTCGCAGACCAACTTGCGCCCCGCATCCCCGATTGTTGTTGGAGTGCATGGGCGTTGGCAGATTGATTTCGATTGGAGATGATTGCAAAGTTCTGAGCCATATTTCCCGTGCACAAGGTCTGACTCAAATATCAACCGTTGTCCCGCTAGTTTTGGCGTCTAGAAACCATCGCAGAAGCCCAGCCTTCACATGATGTAGTGGTTGTGAGTCTTTCCAGCTGGAATGCATATACTTCCTTGCAGATTGACTTGCAACCTCAAAATGCTTCTTTTGTTTAGAGCAATTTCTCCTTTTCAAGGACCCAATTTTTGAGGTTCCTTCCGTTAGTTTGACCGGATCCAGTTCAGCTGCTTTTTCCTTAAGGTCTTCGGAGAGTCTCAGATCAACGACGCTGTAGCCATCACCTTGTTCGAGAGCATCAACAGCGGCGCCCCTCGCCCGGTCTTCAGAAATGGCAGTTGGATGACGGGGGTGCCTGTGTCTGTGTACGTGTGTGGCTGTGCGTATGCGGCTGTCAGTGTTTGTGTGCTTGTGTTTGGGTGTTTGTGCGTTTGTGTGTGTGTGTGTGCGTGTGTCTCTCGATGTGTTACTGTGTGTTTGTGTGTCTGTGTTCTTGAGGGTACTCATTCACCTTGGTTTCAAAACAAACCAAACAGAAAAACCGCAGTTTTGGGATACCTCCATACCTGGCTCTTCCAAAATGTGCACAATTATTGCTTTGTCAAGAGCGATGTTTTTCGACCCAACGTCTATTATTTTCGCCCGCCGGCAGGTTTCAGTGTTTGCACACTCTGGCATCAATCAAAACGGCATAAGTTGCCGGCGAAACGGCGTCATTGCCCGCGCAACGGCCTAGTTTTTGCCTGGTCACGAGCTGGACTCACGGCGAGCGCTCTTTCTCCAAAGCAGCGTTTGTTTCACCAACCAGCGAAAACTGTTTCTGTTTCGGGAAACGGCCTCAACTTTTCGGTCCAGGTATGTACCCTTGACAAGTGGCTGTAAACACCTTTCGGGCTCTTATGAAGGTGAGGTGGGTTGGGTTCTGGGGTTTGAAGGCCTCGCTTCTTGGCGCTTCCCAGCGAATCGGCCGGCTTTTTTTTAGGTTTTAGGCTTTTAGGGTTTAGTGCTTGGGTGTCCATTCAACCCACAAGTCAAACTTTTAGTTGGGGATCAGTTTGGACAGCCCAGTTTTCAAAGGGCCTTTGGTTGGGCTTTCCTTATCAAAAATGGTGTAACCCAAGTGAACAAAGGGCACACCCCCTTTTACCCCCTTTTTGCGCCCCCTTTGTCGTGCCCTTTTCGGGCCCAAAGTTCCCTGGTTTTTCTGGGGATTTTGGGAGGTTAAGAGCGAAAGACCGCAGCCTTCTTTATTGTCCGAGGCCTTCGGACGAGGGGTTTTTGTTCTGCAGTTTTTGCTTCACCCAAATCTGTGCATCTTTTTAGGCGATACCGGCGATACCCCTCTTTTGAACCACCAAACAAATTGAACACGACTCGCCTTTTTGGAACCCGGGTCCGACTCCCAAAAGAAAGGCGCACTGAGAGGCCCATAGAATTGGGGGAAGCTGGAAGAATTCGCCGCTGGGCGGTCACTGCGGTCACCCACATGAAGATCCCTTGGTTCATTTGGGCACAGACCCGTCTCGGTGTTCAGCTGGGGAGAGAAGTAAAAGGAGTAAGGAACTCTGACGGAGTCCCACCTTGACTTGGTTCAGACAGTGTGTTTATTTGGGGGGAAGTGCAATACTTCTGATCTTGGGATGGGAATTCGGTTTTGGCACTGAAAGGGTACCCCAGCGGCAAGGCCTCTCAGCTTTCATAGAAAGACTGGTTTTGTCTTCACCGCTGTTGGCATGTTTTAGGCTTCTTGGTTATGCTCATGTTTAGTGGCTGCATGTGTTTTTTGCTACGATACCAAGGATGAGAAAGTTGTTTCCCTTGTCCTGCCTTGTTTGTTTTGATATTTTGTGCAGATGAGTGCTGAGTTCCCGCTAGTATTGAAGAACTGGTCATCCACGTATTCCTGATTTTGCGGAACTGGTGGATGCTGGTTTGTGAATGCTCGGTTCCTGCTGCCAACGAAAGTTACAGGAAATTCTAATGGAACATAGCGCCTTATTTGGGCGTTTCTCCAAATTGGGACCCCTCCAGTAGCTGGTATCTTTTCGGTTTCCCCTTCAAACCGTTCGCCTAGTTTGAGAAACCCCCATTTGGAGGAAGCAATCTAAGGCTAAATGTATCCGCCCGTATATGAACCCCTGGTATGCCCCCCAAGTTGAATTGCGGGAAATCAGCCCTCAAAGGGTCCAAAGAGGCCATGGGCTCATATGGGGTTTCTCAAGATAGGAGACCCCTTTGTGGATGCTTTTAGAGCGAAACCAAGCGGAAACCACCTACCGGGAGGGGTCCCCAAGTGTGAAAAACACCCATATATGGACTTATACAAGGCTAGCCTTTGAAACAAGACCAGGTCCCCCAGGATTGCCCTTCTCTCCCCGTTTTTGGTTGGGGAGGGTTCCCCTACTAAAATAGACTAAAGAAAAAAATCGGGTACCCTTGTTCTAACCTCTCTACTGGAGGACCTAGAAGAGGGAAGGCTCCGGGTCGAAAACCTTTGGGTGGATCCGATGGCCTGATGACCCCCTCAGGAGATCTCCTCGCAACTCGGCAAGAGCGCGAGGGCTGATACCAATGCCGACGTGTCGGTCTTTGGTTTGACCCCAAAACCCCGTGTTGCTTCTTTCTTTCCCCCCAAAAAGTTTGAAACTGGTTACCAGCTTTTGGACTCCCTCCGGTCCCTTTTGACAGATCCATTGGGAAGTTCTGATATTTTTGTTGGTGGTTCCCAGCGAACCGTTCAGCTCCTTAGGTGTTGAGATGTTTTTAAGTTGGTGAAAGGTGGTTGGGTGTCGCTTAAGCTTTTTGCCGGGGGATCTGAGTAGCCCAGCCGAATGAAAATTTTCCATACCGATATAAAGGTCTTAAAGCATAGGTGCCCTTTTTAGGTTAGTTTGGTTAAACATAGAAGGCACTGGTTTAGATGGGTTTGATTCCATTCACCATGGTCTAAAGCCTTTTGCTTGCTCGCTCGGGGGGAAGAGTGAGGGTCCAAGCCGAGGCGTGCATCAAATTGGCGCCCTTGCATCTCTCAAGCAAAATACTGAGGGCAAGTGAAGGGTTTTTGGAAGCTCGTTTCAATGCACACCAGCAATTTTGCAACTTTTGTTGATTCGGGGAAATCCAGCAACCCCTGGTAATCTAAATCCGGGTTGCCGGTACCTGGCGCGTAATCCAAAATCCGGGGTCAACATTACCCAACCAGCTTTGGTGGACCCCTTTTCGGGTGATCTTATTGAAGGGAGACCCTCCAACAATGGAAACCACCTGTAAATTGCAGTAAACTTAGTTGGTTTAGTGGTTGGGCCCACAAGTCAAACACTTTTCGATCCGAAAACTGGACTCTCCCAGTGGTAACTTCCCTACCAAATAACGTTCCAGCAAGCCTGGCAGGAGGCCAGTTCGAGCTGCCAAGTGGCTACCTGGATCCTGCAACTAGAAAAAGGACTTCACCCACCAAACTTTTTTCGGGGCAATCACACCCATTTTGCGAGTTGGGATTTTGAGAGTCCAGGTAGATGTCGAGACAATCACGCATTTTTCAAGTTGGAATTTTGAGAGTCCAGGTAGATTTTCGGGCAATCACTTCCATTCTTCACGTTGGAATTTTGAGAGTCCAGGTAGATTTTCGGGCAATCAATTCCATTCTTCACGTTGGAATTTTGAGAGTCCAGGTAGATTTTCGGGCAATCACTTCCATTCTTCACGGTGGAACTTTGAGAGGGAGATTTCGGGGCAGTCACTCACCAATCACTCACCCATTGTTCACGTTGGAATTTGGAGAGTCCAGGTAGATTCACCCGGGTTCCTTTGATTTGGAGAAGACTTCAGGCTCAGCCACATCGTCCTCCGGGTCTTTGCGCTGCTCTTCGGCTCCCTAGGGCTTGGCATCGGTATCGCCATGGCGCCTCGGACGGAGACGCGGTGCCTCTCGGGTGCCTCTCGCTGGTTTTTTCTTTTTCTTTGGAGGCAGCGACCCGTGTTGTGCGGTTACCTTGAAATGAACGCAAAAGGAAAGCCATTTGTGTTGTTTTTTTGGGGGGGAGGGGCCTATGAAGAAAGACACACACACACAACAATTTACTGTATTTGTGTAGTCATAGGTGTCTTTTTTGTTTGTTTTGAGGGAAAACTAGATGGCGATTCCTGATTGACCTGGTTTCATAAATCTACCAACCCATGCACATTTCCCTAAAAGGACTCCTAGGTGCATACAACCGAAACCTGTAAAACCCAAAAGGATATGGCTGGAAACCCTACTGTGGGGCCTTGCCTGGGATTCCGGGATCGGGGTTCCACTGATCAATACTGTGGATGGTCGCGAAATACATTTCGCACCTAGGAAACCATGATGGTTGGAACCTTAGGCGTGGCATTTACTTTTGGGAATCGAGTCATTTTCCAGGGTTTCTGAACGGTGGTGCGATTTGTGCATTTCGCAACCATCAACAGTATGAAAGCCACAAACCACACATGTTTTGAGGAATCTCCACTTGGCATGTTCACTCTTCCATTTGCTTAAGCATATGTCCTTCTTTTCCCCTGGTGGTTTTAAAGGGAATCTATCACCGGACCTTTTTTTTTCCGCAGGGGGGGCTTCTTCTTCGCCGTCCGGGCGTCTGGCAATTGCCGTGGGACGTTGGCGAGTTCAGGGGCCGCACTGATCCGCACTAGTCCCAAGCTGCTGGCTTGTGCTTCTTTGGGCTTTCGTCGAGCTCCCAAAGGTTGGAGATGGGATGAGCTTGGTGCTTGGTTCAAGCTTATGGATCTGGATTCGCAGATGGATACCGAAAAATGTACCGACGAATTCCGCTTAGAAACGAGCCAACAGGGGGCGCCCTTGCCGCTTTCAAGATCTTCGCAAGCGCTTGGGACGTGGAGCTCTCGTCGAGCTTTCGGCCCGGTCCATGGCCCGGTCCAGGAGCTTGGCGCGCGGGTTTCCGGATGTGAAACGGTTGGGACGCGGATCCGCACCCGTAGGACGCTAAAGTTCTAAACGATGACCGGGCATTTTCACGGGGACGCCCACCATGTTTAGTCGTATCTGTTATTTTCTTGTTTTTTTTTTTTGGGGGGGGGGAGGGAAACACAGCGACACCAACCATTTCTGGGGAGTCCCCCTATTTTAAGACACTACGAAAGAACCAACCGGGGGAAGGGCGGGTGAAATCGACAAACATCCCCTCCCATCCGTTTTCTAGAAAGATGAGCAGTGCTTCATTCTCTACACACCATTGGAACTGTTTGCAAGGTCGAAGATCCACCCTTGGGGGTTGACTTGGCTACGTGGAATGGTATTTGTGACATGGCTTGAAATCGAACCACATGTTTGTTGCTGTTGCGTTTGTTCTGTATTTTCTCTCTGTCTCTCGCTCGCTCTCTCTATACACATACATAGGCATACTATTGTGCCATATGCATAACAAATGGTACGCACGTAGCCAAGGCCCACCCGCCCGGCCGAAACTGGTCCCTTGCCATTGTGCACAATGGCACGATTTCGCGCATGGCTCCCAAGAACCAAATCATTTTGGGTGCTCAATTGGTAAGAACTGGTCCATGTCCTTTGGGCCTTTGGGCCTTTGGGTTTCCGTTGAAAAGAACACCGCCCAACACAGGGGTACCTTCCTCAGAAAAGACGAGCCACCAACAAAAGCCCCCCCTCCCCCCCAATAAGCAACCCAGAACGGGGACCTTTCGCCTCGAAAGTAGACGGCGTTCATGTTTCCCAAGCTTGGGTGGCCTGAAAAAAGGTGGCTCGTCACACTTCAGTCGCAAGGAAGGAATCCCTAGGGTCCATTTTTAGTGGACCAAACCAAATGACATATCTGGATCCATTTGTCGTGGACCCAGGGAAAAGAATCTGCAATCATTCCACGGGATTTGGTGTGTGTGATTTTCGGGGTTCGCTAAAACCATTGAGACTTGACGATTCAGACCGCCTCAGGTGATGGTCATGGTCATGCGCTTTATGAAATTGGGGCGCAGCCCTCACAACGCGCTGCTTTTCCTGCGCCTTGCTTCGAAGCTCAGACGATCTGCAGCCGTTTGAACCACTGCTCTTTTCGACCTTTCTGTTTGAGCTTCCGTTTTTGGAATAAGACAGGTGTCCCAGACACAGACCAACAGTTGTGTGTTTGCAGGGGATGACAAATCCAGACGAAGGCACATCCAGGGTTGGGTTCCCGGGATTTTCAGGCTTCTTGGACTCAAGTGTAGAGGCCTGGTTTGAGGTGTATGTCTTGTTTGCTATTGGGTTGTCATCTTTAGACTTTAACACTTTTTGTTGAAGCCACAACATGTTTTTTTTTTTTTTGCAGAGGGGTCGACAAGATTTGGAGTGTTATAGCGTTACTTGTTTGGTTTGGTCGGTAGCGTTTTGCGCTTGCAGATTGAGGGTGTAAGACAGCTTCCCTACCAAATAACTTGCAAAGAAACCAGCAAGCCTGGCAAGAGGCCAGTTCGACCAAGTTGTGGTTCGTTCCGACCACTCAGCTACCATCAAGTAAAAGGCACTCGACCACTTAATGCCTTGATGCGCGAGTATGTCTCAAAGTGGGAACCCCAAACACTGGTGGTCCTTTTGGTTGTCCTTTAAAGGAGCTTGATCTTTGTCCTTTCGTCTCCTCAATGATTTTGGGGCCTTTGAAGTGACATCCTCAAATTGCCCGTTGAGTGGTGGCTGAAACCGGGACGTTCCGTTCTAAAGTAAACTTGACAACTTGGCGCAAATGAGCCACCACACCCAAATTCGAGAACTGAACAAAACATGCCCTCAGCATGGTTCAAAAGGACACCACCACTTGTTCGGTGATTTCGAGAACCCGGTGAAACCTGACGGGTCTGTGGCTGTTTTTTTGGTTTTTGTCGGATCTTCTGAAGTGTCGGTTGAACATCAGCGGTTTTCCCACTACTTAAGATACCTCTTTGCAACAGTCAAGGAAGCGGACGGGTGGGTGCGGGGGTTGTAAGACTACATTTGTTTTGAACAACCTCACACGGTTGCCCAAGGGGCCACAACGCGTGCCAGGGCTTTTTTTGGACCATGCACTCAGGGAATCCGAGGGAAAGATACCGGATCCCATTGGCTCGGCTAGCGATCTCGGCAGGGTGAGCACTCCATTTCTGAGCTACACCTTGGCGGAGCAGGTGGGCATGTCAGGCGCGGTTCAGATGCCGGACAAAAAGTCGGGTCAGGGAACCAGCCCGCCTGTGCACTTCCTGCAAATCACACAAGTTGCAAACCTTGTGTTTCCCCCAAACCTCGTGGTTTCCCCCCCAAAAAAAACAAACCTCGTGTTTCCCCCCCCCCCCCCTTTTTTTGTTTTTTTAAACTCGTGTTTCCCCCAAAAAAACACCTCGCGTTCATGACCTTTTTGAAGTTTTTTTTTGGGGTCTCCTTTCAAAAAAAACATGGTACGGTACCGAGTTTATTCGGAGCAGAGGTTTTGGGAAACACCGGGCTTTGCCGGTGAGCCTCGGTCTGACGGTCCTTTCGCTAAGAGCAA